CCCATAGACCATTTATTATTATTATTATAATTTTATTAAAAGACGAACAGTAAAAATTATATAAATAACCTGGGCCATTTTAAATTTTATGAACTAAAATTTAATTTTCCATACTCAAAGGTTTTTTTATTTATTTTACAACAAAAATCTATTATACCCTAATGTAATTAACCACTTACCAAGACTACATAACACTTGATTTACCAGAATCAAAACAAAAAAACTGCAGACAATTATTGACTTCATGATAAACAATATCAGAAGTTTTGGATGCCTACATTTATATATAAGTAATTGTGATAATTTTATTCAATAATGCATATTAATTTGTATTTCACAAAATTTAATTTAAAACAAAAATACAGTGGTGGTTTCAGTTTTATTTTTTTATCCAAATAATCCAACCAAAATTGAGAGTCCGAATAAGATATTTTTTACTTGTAAATTAGGAGTAGATTGTAAAGGCCAATTTACCAAAAGTGCAAACATCCCGAATAACACACTACCTATATCTCTGGCATATGCCCCAGTCTGCCTATTTGCCAAAGTATAATTGCAATATTTATAGAATACCTATATATATTTCCTAATTTACATTCTAGACTTTCCTGTCTAGTTATTACAGGCTTTTTCCGGTTATTTTATATAACCTATTATCGCCCCTGTAAATATGCATTGCCAAAGAAATTAATTAAATTTTTCACTCTTCCTCAAATTTTTCCATTACGGTCCATTTTAGATAAATCATATATAGAATAAAAATTATAAAGAATTAATTATATGGCAAATAACAATTATTTTAACAATTTTCCTAATTAGCATTTTGCACTTTTTTTAAAATTTCTCGAATACGGACCATTTTAGGAAAATTGTAGAAAATTATCGAGAATAACATTACAAGCCACTTTTATTGGAAGAATTTTCTTTTCGAAGTGTAAATAGCAGATAAAGTAGGAAAACGACCCCCTATAAAGTACCTCCCAGATGTTCCGACGATGCCGAAAATTTAATTAGTTTTTCGTAGGATGGATTAATGCTTAACACGTTTACTGCTGATGACGCATATGAGGCGTCATGCAGGTTTCCTCGGAGAGGACGACGACACAAATGTGGCATCACCCGTCTCGTTATGTTTATATGCTGAGCAAATAGTCAGCCTTTGCGGAAGACTATTGTATCGTTGTCGGTCGCTCTAGTACATACTAGACCACTTGTAGATTTTGTTGGTTTCCCATTTTTAATATTTTGAGCTTATGAACTGGATGAACAAATTGCTGAACCATACTGTCCTAAGCGAGAGTGTACAGGAAGTTGAATTAACATTTGCGGATATTGAAAATGAGTTTCAACTTTCTTATTTTGAATCACACTAAATCCGGATCTGAATTTGACTTATGGTTAAATGTTTAGTAGATGGTCAGCTTTTGCAGGACACTGTTGTATCGTTGACGAGTGCTTTAGTACGTACTAGATCACGTATAGATTGTAAGGGTTTCCGATTTTTAATATTTTGAGGATGTGAGATGGACAAACAAATTCCAGGGCTATCTAGTCCTAAGCGAAAGTATACAGACAATAAGAATAGACAACTACTAACGGACAATAAGCTGGAACAACTTGTGGAAATATTTTCAGATAATGAAAGTGTGTTGGAACTTTCTGATTTTGATTCAGAATCGGGATCTGATTTTAACAAACCAGATTTAGATATTCAGGCGGCTAAAGCATCTATTGATAATCCCGAAATATTAAAATGGTCTGATGTGTACGATTTAAAAAATATTGAATTTAGTGGTAATCCAGGCTTGATTGTTCCAGTTCCAGTAAATGTCCCATTTCATTTTTCTTTCACTGTTGGTAACCGATGACTTTTTATCACATATAATTACACAAACAAATGTGTGTGCTGAACAAGTTTTTTTTTTAGAGAAATCACGATAGAGAAGTCACGCATAACAACTTGAAAACCAGTCGATCTGCCCGAATTTAAAAATTTTCTTGGATTATGGTTCCATATGGGCAATATACAAATCAGCCGTTTGCAAGACTATTGGAAAACAGACAACTTGTTCAGTTTGCCTTTTTTTCAACAGCACATGAGCAGAAATCGCTTCTTGCTTTTTATAAGATATTTGCACTTCGACAAAAAAACCATCTCAGGGAAGGCCAAGTTTTAAAGATCGCCTTCAGAAAATTCAATTTATGCAAGAATATTTTAACCAGAAAATGGCCAAGGTTTATTTTTCACAAAAAAACTTGGCCATTGACGAATTCATGGTTTTGTAGCGAGGCCGTCTACATTTTAAACAGTACATAAAAGGAAAGAAACATAAATATAGTATGAAACTGTACATTCTTGCTAAGCCAAATGGACTTGTTTAGAGAAGTAAATTATACACTGGGGCTGGTGGTGATTTGGGTGGCAAAAATCATTTACAAAAAGTGGTTTTATCCCTAATAGTAGGATTCGAAGGAAAGAGGTATGCACTGTACATGGATAATTATTATACAGCTTTTCCTTGCGTCAAAACTTGCTTGATATTAATATTTATGTAACGGGAACTCTCAGAAAAGACCGCAAAAATAATCCAAATGAGGTTGTTGTGGCAAAACTAAAAGAAGGCGAATATATTACTAAATATTGTAAATTAACAGTAGTCACAAAATGACTGACTAGCAAGATGTGCTGTTTATTTCAACTGAGCTTAAAACCAGTATTGTAGAAGTTGAACGAAGATATGGAGTTAATGTTCAGAAACCCTTAGCAATCGTTAACTATTACAAAAATATGGCTGGTCAAATGCTTTCATACTACCCAAGTAAAAGGAAAACACTAAGATGGTATAAAAACTGGGTATACATATTTTGTGCACTCTGATGCTAAACAGTCACATTTTATTTAACATGTCCTCAGACAAGAAAATAGGCTTCTATGATTTCCGTATGGCTGTAATAAGGAACCTTTTATCTAGTAAACCAACAAAAAAGCCAATTTGCAATGCAGCAGTTGTCAATACAACTGCAAATATATATAAACATTACCCTCAAAAGAACACTAACGAAAATGAAAGAAAAAAAATGAAAGAGATGGAAGCTGTGTTTCTCTATGAAGATTCGCAATGATACGCCTTACTTCTGTGCAGATTGTCCAGGATCACCTGTTTTGTGTTTGGAAACATGTTTTCTTTAGTTTCATAATTAGCGTCCTGTACCATGAAGTTTGTTTTTTATTTTATTTTTTTGTGTGCCATATTTTGTTATTTCACATGATTTGACATTTTTTATGTTTATTTGTATCTTTTTTTGACTGTTATTGGTTGTGTTTTATTAATTTTAAGCTTTTGACACAATATGTCATTTTGACAGGAACTGATTTTTTGTTATAATTCTTATTTTTTGTTTATTACTATTTTCGTTTCTTGTTCTTGACACCAAATACAGTATTTTTTAACATTTAAACGTTGATGCCACTTTGCGTCATTAGGGCGTCCGGCGAAAAATTTTTGTTCAGAGGCCGGTATCGCAGATGTAGCGTCATATGTCATTTTGACAGAAAAACACTTTCTTTCATTAAGTTTCATATCTTACATTATTAAACAAAAACTTTTAAGCTCGGTTAAAAAAAAAGTTGTCGGCTTCTCGCGATTAGATAGTCCAGCAAGTCGGCAGTAAAAGTGTTAAATTTAAAGTTTGGTATTTTTATCTTATATCTCGAATACGGTCCATTTTAGAAAAATTATGTTAATTAAGAATTATAGAGAATGATATCATAAACAACTTTTATTTGTACAATTTTCTTAAAAATTTGAATTTTTTACTTTTTGTCAATTTTCTCAAATACAGACCATTTTAGGAAAATTTTGTGTTTGACAAAAATTATAGAGAATATAAGCAACTTCCATTTGAAGAATTTTCTTTTCCAATCGTAAATAACAGATATATTTTATAAAACAAAAAACGATCCTCTATAAAGTACCCCGCAGATAATCCGTCTATGCCCAAATCAGCTTACCGCAGGCCGAAATAAAGCTTAAGTTTAGAATTTAGTGTTTTTCTTTGTATCCGTTCACGAGTTATTATTATATATTTTTGCGAAAATAGTCAAAACGGATTCAGGGGGTCCCAAAACGTAAAAATCCGTCTAAAACTCGAGGAACCGTATATTGAATAGAAAAATACAAGAGCTTATTGACAACTGACTCTGCTAGACAGAATGACAGTAAAAAGACTTCTGGCAGTTCACTTACTTAGTAGGCTGTGCAGCAACATATTTAACATACTTATTTTTTTGTAATAAATTTTAAGTTTTTCAATTTTTGTTCTGAAATGTGTGGGTGGGTGGACGGTCGGGTGGCTGGATGGGTGTATGATAAATGTTCGAATTTTTTTCTGAAAACTTTTCCAGATCCACAACAAATAAAACCAAAAAAGAATTACGAATACCGTTCAATTCGTGAAAAATGGTCTTGAGTTAGAAAAAGCACATAGAAAAAAGTACTCTCAGTTTTCCGAATTTTTCAATTTTCCGGGCAATTTTTTAAACTTTTCTCTAACTAGATGCCTTATTCGGACTATTAACAAACATTTAAACCGAACATTTAATACCAACAGTATTTGATTTTTATTTTTATAGATACATGCAAATTATTAAACTTTACTAAATAGATGATATTGGTAATAATCGACAAGTACCAAAATCAAAATACTACAAACAATCGTTATTGTTATTAACTTTATAATTTGTATTTTTGCTTGAAAAACATGCTATTCTTAAATGTTCTCGCGTTAAGATTTTTTAAAAATTAAGTATGTAATGACTTTCGAATGTTTTAAAATGTACAAGATTTTTAATAAATATATATTTATAATTTTTAATAGGTAAATATTTAATAGTTAATTAGGTTTCAATCTGTGATAAAATATCCCAAATCTTAAGGAAGAACAAAAAATTAATGTTATTAATGAATATATTTTATTGACAAAATTATAATACATAATTTTATCTTCAAATTAAATACATTCTAATTTATAGGACATCGACCAATGGGTATACATCGTCGTCCTTCAGGTTCCAATATAAATCCTGGATTACAGACACATGCTGGTTTACAATCTTTTGGGCAACTTGGGCATTTAGGTACCTCTCTATTAAAGCAACTTGGTTGTTTGCAACAAGATTTACATCGCACGAGATGTGAATCTGGACCACACTTTCCTGTAACAAAAACAAATTATTGGTTTCATTTGTACTTCTTTTCAACTCTGGAATATATGACTGTAAGTAGGTACGTTCGATAATGATACTGCAATTAATTAGAAAACTCAAAACTATCAATTATTATTGGATACTTATACTCAACGAACTAAAAAGTTATGTGAAGTTTACTAAGAAAAAAAAAATAGAAGATCTCTCTCTCTCCAAATATCAACGAAAAGAGTGTACCTCAAGAGCTGAATTCAATGTACTTTGACATAACCCTAAGCTAAGTTATGATAGGAAAATATAAAAAGTAAAGAATTGAATTAGTATTGTGATGTTTGTTTACTTTAAAACAACAGTTTATTTATTAATAATTTATTTAAACACTTATTTATTTATAACACTACTATTCTAATTTATATATATTTCGAATGTCTTTAAACTGTTCGCTAATTATCTTCACTGTCCATATAATAACTAACTCTCGCTTGGTTCTCCACCTATATTTATATACAAATTTAAAAGTTTGGCGAATGAGCTAGAAAGTTCATCAAATACTCTAGAAACATTATCCCGTCTTTTCTCGAACATTAATCGAAAACTCTTCCGCCATAGTCGTCACATAGGTTTAGTCTTAGGGGTTTAATTATGTATGATAATCGGATAAGTTGAGCCTTAAAGGCCAAATAAGACAGAGAGGGACTTGGAGGATAGAGCATGACTGAATAATGAAACGGCTCACATATCAGTATTAAATGAATGGCTATTAATTTACAACCAGGGACCTGTTTCCGTTGCTAGGTGATCTCATTGGTTCCAGAAATAGTTTTGACTTTTCAGAAATAGAAAATAGTCATTTTTGTAACTACAAAATAAGTTTTTTTTTTTTTTTGAAGAATTAATGATTTCTTTAGTTAATGAAAATGAATTTCAAGGAATTCCTCCTGATATTCTGCTAATATTACTGATAAGTTACTTTCTCCAAAACCAAGTGCAAGGTAATGAAATAGTATACCAAAAGTTGGACTGACAGATAAAAACAATGTAAACTCATTTTCTGAGAAGTTGCTTTTTACTTTAAGGAGCTTACAGAACAATTTAAACCTTCATCATTATGGGCAATGTACCTAAAATTAAAACCATACCTTAAAAAGCAATTGCATTGGTTTAAAAGCAGATTTTTTTGTTTTGATGAAATAATTATATTTTTAAATGACGTTATTGATTCACAATATCTATTAACAAAGGTTTGTATCTAAAACAAATTTTCTTCAGTTTATTTAGTATTTGCATTTGCAATTGACAATATTTTTAACTAAACGTATTTAATAAATGTTATAGATTATGAAAGCCTTCTCGTTATTATAAATGTATGATTATGGTTGTAGATAAAGTATAGTACATTACTCGAGTTTTAAGAGCAATTGCGTGCTCGTAGATTTACTGCATTCGTTGCTAACGCGGCTCGTGCGCAACTTTTCTACTCGCATGTATTTAGCTTCTTACTACTCTTGTTATGTAATATTCTATTACGCACTAATATTTTACTTTACTCACTAGTGAAAAGTAAAACATTGCGCACTCCGTAGCATGCGTGAAATACGGATTTTACACACAGTAGTATAAAAATAACTAATCTAGGCGTTAAGTCTGGTTGAATAGAATATTAAAGTTTTTGTATTTTGAATTTTATTGGAAAATTTACACACAAAATAATTCACAAAATTAATCTCATCAAATTGGCCCTTTCAAATTTTATGGATCCAAATTTTATTTTCCATACTCAAACGTTTTTATGTATAATATAACAACAAAAAATTAATATACCCTATCGTAATAAACCACTTACCAATACCACACAATACTTGATTCACCAGAATCAAAACAAAGAAACTGCAGACAATTATTGACTTCATGATTAACAATGTCAAAACGTTTGGAAGGCTTACATTTATATACAATTATTTGGGAAAATTTTATTCAATAATGCATATTAATTTGTACTTTACAAAATTTAATTTATTATATAAATACAGTGGTGGTTTCAGTTTTTTTTTGCAAAACGTCCAATATATACCAAACCATGAATTTATTATATTCAAAATTGAAATGTCGAGCAAGATATGTCAAAAAAACTTGACATTTCTGCATCTCTATTGATGCGTAAATGTTTACTTTTTTTCACTGCCAAAATAATTCACAAAATAAACATGAAATATTACTTTTTTGAAGGATTTGTTTTTAACAGAGTCAATTATTAATTGATTAATCATCATAAAACAATTTAATTTATTGAAATAATAATTGATAGTAAAGTTTGAACAATTACTTCCAACATAAATTCCCGAAGATGTTTCATGTATTGGAAGTGTTTATTTTTAATATATTTTAGACGAAAATCCACATTGACAGTTGTACAAAAAAATGTTTGTATTTCTTGTATAAAATTCGTGTTTTCATGCCACATTCGAGATAATTTATGGCCTCGACCTGCGGTCTCGGACAAGCAGACCAAAATTGGAATTCTGAGTAAGATATTTTTTTACTTCTAAATTAAAAGTAAATATTAAAAATCAATCATGATGTATGTTAAGCACACGTCAGTGGCATAGCTATTATAGGGCAATTTGATGCAAAGCACCGGGGCACCGGAGATATTTGGGGTCCCGCAGGGGTTCTCTGATAATTATATAATTATTTTATTGCATTCAAATTCGTGATACTTTTAAAAATTCATGTTTTTAAATGTCTAAAAATTAAACCGGCACACAAAAAAAAAGTTGTTTGTACATCAGACACGACCTACTTACCGGCATGTATTTTGACCCGCTGAATCCAAATTTCAAGACAGTTTGGGCCGTCCACCCTTCAATATCCACCTTTGCAATATCTCTAAAAACTGATGTATGAACTGAATGAGGCGAAAGGTTTTTTCAAATTTTGAACTGTTTTTTGTTGGTATCAAACTTTTTTGTTCTCAAATGACCTCCGCAGTATTCAGCGGATCGAAATACATAAGAATTATGCTTGGTTTCGATTCATAAATTTTTTTATTACTAATTATCTTATTTTTACTATTTTTACAATTTACTCGATATTGAAGGGTGGACGGCCCAAACTGACTTGAAATTCGGATTCAGCGGGTCAAAATACATGCCGGTAGGTAGGTCGAGTCTGATGTGCAAACAACTTTTTTTTTTGTGTGTGTGCCGGTGTTATTGAACTTATAAAACTTTTTCAATGTAGATTGGGAGTCAATTTTGATTTCTACTGAATTTCGTTCTTTTAAAAATGAATAGGTCAAAGTGGTATATAGTGGGCCAAAACCATCTGACGCCTTCCACTGAACAGTAGGTGAATTATTTATCCGTTTGAGTGTACCTTTTATGCCAACCAAATTATGACCAGATTTTACATTTGTATTCTGTGCTTTTATAAAATTGTCTAGAGGTGTTTTTTTTTAACAAAAACAGACATAGTGATATATTTCGGATTCTCCGAAACAGAAGATGCATATATTTTAGAAAAAGAAGACATAGCTTTTCAGTTACCACAAACAAACTAACATGAAAGTCAATATAAAAAATGTTTTTTTGATTTTGGTATTAGTTAACATATTTAGTTACTTAGACTCCAAACTATGACGATACAGGTCAAAAAATGTTTCAGTCCAAAGATAAGAAAAAAATGTTTGTCAAAAAATGTAAATTGTTGTTTACATACATTCTGTATATCAACTGTTTCATTTAAAAAGTTATTACTACATTTTTGGGATGCCACCCCCTTTGTCTTACCCTAGGATAAGGCAAGGATAAGATTTTTATACAGAAACATTATGACCTACAGGGTGGGGAGGAACTTTTTTGTATGCGATATTTATGGGATAACACAAGTCATATACTGGATCGGTATTCTCAGCATATACCAAGTTTGGTCTCAATATCTCGAACCAAGTTGTCCTTGCCCCAAGAGCCGAAACCCAACCAAAATATGGCCTAAAGAAAAAATATACCATGCTCCCCTAATTTATTTTTTATTTCTGTCAGACTTACAAACGTTTCATTTATTATGGTTTTAGGTTTATTTTATTTTACTATTTATTTTTAGTTTACATTAAACTTGCGAATATTTTCCTATTATTTAATTTAAGTTTTTTCTTATAGTATCATACATTATTTATGTGCAGACGCGGTCCTGTGCTTGGTGCGCAGGTGTTTTGTTATGGACGTCTGTAAACAAACGTCTACGTGAGCATAATCGCGTTCACTGAGTTGCATCAGCGCGAAACCACTCAAGGCCAATCAGTTGCTGGTACGTAGACATGCATATCTTTTTCTTTGAACGGTTAAAAAGTCAGATCGTTTTGGATTTAGAGATAATTCAACATAAAATCCGATGGCCTATATTCTTTTGTAAACATGGGCGTCGTTACACAATTCTATAAGGAGGGGCAAAATTTTGAAAAATTTAGAATGTTTATTTGTTGGAAAACAAAGAAAATGAAAAATAAATGAGAATTTTCTTATGATGGATTTAATTACTTCTGGTTTTTCCAGAAATAACAGAAAAACGCAATCTTTGTATAAGAAGCGTGTATTGAAAATTTTCTGTCAGTAACATATTAAAAAAAATATTTTCCAATATGATGGTCATTTTGACAGCTGACAGAAAATTTTCAACCCATGATTTTTATTCATAAATGTCCCTAAAATTAAAATTTTTAATACAAACGGAGGTTTCTATTTAAAAATTAAAATTAAATTGAGATTTTCTGTTATTTCCGATAAAACCGAAGTAAGCCATGAAGTCACACACCAATTGAATCCAGTATATGAGAGTATTTGTCCCAAGCTTTTATACAAAATATCGTCTTAAAGTACTCGAATTATCGGCAGATTGCGCTAGTATCGCTTTTGCTTCCCCTACCATGACTTCGCACTGATCGAATAGACCGCAGCCATGTTTTAACATGTCTTAGCGTGCTAAACGTTCTTTCAATTAACTCTGTCGTTGGTGGAAGAGCCATAAATAATTTTTAAACAACTTTGTATGTCTGAATAAAATTCACAATGTTTGGGGGCTATCATTAATGGAGAGTTAATTCTGTGCAGAAAGCTCTTTCGTACTCCAGTTTGGTATTCAGCTTCAAAATTGTCGATTCCAAATTTTTCCACTACTTTCATTTTCTAATCGGTAGTGAAAAAAGTATTTTTTTATGGTTTTGGGATGTAACAGGCTTAAGGAAAAACTAATAGAGTCTTCGGAAAAGCGTGGTGTAAGCTACGTAAGGGAATCCAGATATGTAATAAATATATCCATCCTATAATATTCTTCAACTATATTACCCTGAATATTATTATTTCTATGAGATTGTTGTTCGTAATGCACATCTTACGCGTTGTTGATTAAATCGTAAAAGCCAGGGGGGGGCAACTGTTCCCCCTTGCCCCCCTAAACGACGCCCATGTTTGTAAATACATAAGTTCTCTGAGCAAAGATACTAAAATGATAATAAAAGTAATATTAACCCTAAGGCAGTATTAAGCCTCTAGGTGTTTGTAAATAAAGTGTAGTGCAAATATGTAAAGTTTAAAAGTTGTCGTGCAACGTTTCGCACAATAAATTGTTTTTACGAACTTCCTGGAATTTCATTATCCGTATGAAAATATTTGCTGCTAGCACCGAAAGGTGACAGTCTACTTGGTAAGCGAGCCTTAGGGCCATATTTATAATTTGTGTTTGATTCAACTTTTGGTAAACTACAAATCCAACATACATATTTTTTGATATGCCTAGAATATTCATGTTTCATATCCTATAGATATCTCCTTTATATAATAATTTAACTATTTTGGTATATAGGTATAAGTAAGTGTATTTATTATTTTATTATTCATAAGTACAAACGGAAACATAACAACCAGGCCACACTTATTTAGTTTTTAGATACTGAAATTAAACTTTGAAATAAAGTAGTGCGTAACCGCGTTTAAAATACATATTCGAACCGACCAACGCCCTTACTTAACAGTGTTCTGATTTAGCTTGTTTTTGTGTAAGATATACTAGTATGAAAAAGAAGCGAAAAATAAACAGTGAATATAGAAACAGTTTTAAAATTACTCAAAATATGCAGGAAGTATGCGTACAGAAAAATTTGAAGCTTTAAAGCGCGGATTGAAATCGCAGCATTCTTTGTTTATGAAAGTCAATATTAAACAAGAGACTTCAACTCGTGCCAGCTTTCGTGTGGCTCTTGACATCGCAAAACGTGAAAAACCATTTTTCGATGTTGATCAATGATCAAAGAATGCGTAATTGGAGTAGTCAAAGAAATGTGCTCCGAAAAGGTACTTAAATTTATTTAAAACTGTCAGTTTGTCAGCAAACACCGTTGCTCTGGCACCTTTTCTCTGGCCTTGGATGAATCAACGGATGTGTCAGATACTGCTCAGATGTTGATTTTTATTTGAGGAGTAGATATAAAAGCTATGACGTTTATGAAGAATTTCTTTATACTGATAGTATTAATGGCACGACTACTGAGGAAGATATATTTAAGGGGGTTGAAAATGCCATTAATAAAAAGAATCTTCGATGGAAAAACTATTACAACTAATGCAGGCAAAAACATTTGTAGTAAAAATAAAGGAGTGCACTTGTGTTAGAGGCTGTAGAAAATGATGGTGGTTCAAAACCATTAGTCTTACATTGTATCATTCATCAACAGTCTTTGTGTGGAAAATGTTTGGATATGTCTGAAGTTCTAAAACCAGTCATATCAGTTGTTAATTTCATCAGATCCACCTGGCTGAATTACTAACAATTTCGCACGTTTATTGAAGAGATGGGAGAAAATGACTTACTGTAAATGTTGTAGTTAAAATGTGAATATCAATAATGGGAACGTTGGCAACGTGGTCTCCACTGATGAGCTTAATCTTTTGTCTTCTGCCACGTAATAGAAATGTATCAAAGGGTGTTTGACGCACGTGACGCCTTGCTAGTGTAAGAATATGTAGTGCATGTTAGTTACTACAGACAGACGTTACAGATGACGACAGTAGCAGAAACAAAATTTTGACTAGTTTACCTAGCAATACATAGCAAGACGAGGATAGCTGCCCTATCTTTGGAAGAGTGTTTTTAACAACGGTTCATACAGGAAATTGGCTTCAAAAGGTTAGAGATAAGAATGTGAGTGCATTTACAGTTCGTCTACAGGAAGTTGGTTTAAAAAGTTGCAGAACTGTAACTGGGCCCAAATTATTTCCACGTCACCGAGTGGCTAGATTGCATTTTGCCAGGGACATTTACATTGGAATTTGAGGCAATGGAGGAGCAATTTTCTTTTTACAGATGAGTCGAGATACTGTTTAAACTCACCAGATGGAAGAGAAAGAGTATAGCGACGAACTGGAGAGAGGTTTGTGGAGTGCGCTTTTAAGCCCCCGCCTAGCTATGGAGGAGATTCGATGATGGTGTGGTCAGGAATATCCTGAGATGCCCGCACTGAATTAGTTTTTGTAGATGGTTCATTGACTGCTCACCGATATATTGAAAAGATATTACCGAATCACGTTGTACCTTTTTCTCATCATATAGGTGATAATTTTGTAATAGAAGAACTTGGTATTAACATATTGAACTGGCCAGCATATTCGCCGGTTCTTAACCCAATAGAACAACACGTTTGGGATATGCTTGGCAGGGTTATATGTCGCGAAGTGGCGCAAGCTACAATAAATGAATTTCGATTTGCTCTGGAAGAAGAGAATGGCAAAACGTCCCACAAGATGATATTTGTAGCCTGATTGATAGTATGAACCGACATCTACAGGTAGTTATAGAAGCCCGAAGGGGAAATACTAAGTATTAGGTATTAACTTTTGCACTTTAATTTTTTTAAGGTCATTAGTTCTTAAATTGTTAAAATTGTTTAATAATTTGTTTATTGAAATCAACACCATATCGTAACTTTTGTCATTTATTTCGTCTTCTTTCCGTTTCAATTAATTTTAAATTTACTTTGAATATTAGCTGGAGCGCGTCCTGCCAACGAGACGGGTCCAAAGAGAGTATATATAAATAGGAAACATTTTGCCACGAGCCCAGGAAGTGGAAAGGTGAAAAATTTTTGGTATCAAAACGTTTGCCCTTAGGTACCATACATTTCTTGACGTCTTTTGAAGAAGGGGTGGGGGGAGTATGTGGAAGCAAAATCCTTGCCTTTCGGTCCCATGAATTACACGCATAATATTTCATAAATTTTATTTTCAAAGTCGAGCATGGTCTAAAACCTAAAATACAACCATCAAATATCAAATTTTATCAGTCGTATAAAGAAATAAAGGTACCTTACTCTTGAGTAAAACTCATATTGTTTGACAAACCTCGTATACCACTGAAAAAATTTGATATTTTATATCTGTATTCTAGGTTTTAGATAATGCAGAACTTTTTATGAAGAATAACTTTTTTCCTAAAATTAATAATAAAAAAATTTTCCATATGATTCCAACCTAGGGGGACATTCTGTATATAGATTATGAGGATGTTTTTTTATCAGCAAGTCCTAAACTTATATATGCATATTATATATGCATATGCTTAGTCAATTTCTAAAAGATTTAAGGCATGTGTTATTTAAAAATAGCTGTCCTATTTTTTAATTGCGCATGCTGATTAAGTTTAAATTTTGAAAACACGCTCGTCGGCTTTGGAAAAAGGACACTATAAGTATCAGATCATTTTTTATTTGAAGTAAACCAGAAACTTCACCCATAAAGATAATTTGGCTTAAAGAAAGGCAAATTTTTTTTCCGGCAGTTTAAGGAAAAAATATACAAAAACTTGAAGCAATGTAAGAAGTTATATAAGGTAGTAAAATATGTTAGTTTATAGTGGGAGTGGGATATGCTGTATTTTGCAGCTTACAGCAGCTCATATAAAGATTATAGAAAAGTATTACTTTTCGATTGTTTTCTGTTCGAAAGACGAAGTTTTTATCACATGCGAATAAAACATAATATGTAATGCTCCTTAATGTAATTAGGCCACTTACAACCAGCATCAGAAACAGCATCACATAACACTTGATTTACGAGAACTAAAATAAAAAAACTGCAGATAATTAACTTCATGATTAACTATTACGTAACCTATGGATACATCCCACGTTTATATTTATACCTACCTATATAATTTTTGAATATTTTATTCAGTAATGCATATTTGGTAATTTATAAAATGTTATAATTATAATTCATATATACAGTGGTGTATCCGAATAGGACATTACCACCTATTTCGCGGGCAACTGATGAAGTGTTGTAAGGCTATTTAAACATTTTTCTTTGATTTAAATCGCAAATCATTGCAAATTATGTTGTTAAATTATAATTTTAATTTGTAAAACACCGGTAATTGATGTAAAAGTTAGTTCTTTTACTATCGAGTAAAAATTGTTCAAAAAGGTATAATGAAGCAGTGTACCTATTAGATGCCCCAATTGCTGTCTTATTCTTTAAAGTAATTTCAAAGTAACTTTTGTTAACCAAATCTTAAACGGTTTTATATACAAAAAGAATAAAACTATTCAAAATCAATACCACAATATAATAAATATAAAAATAAAACGAATCGCAATTAATTTCGGCATATGGGGCCATCATCAGGTCTTTAATACAAAAACTAAGTGCTGGGAGAAAATGCAAATATACACATTAGGTGAGGCATAGATACTTATAAATCCTTATTTCCATTATTTTCGGTTTCTTCAATTTTTTTTTCTAGATCCTCTACTAAAACTGACCTAATAGATTTTTTTTTCTTACGATCGCCCAATATTTACAAGATGAAAAACCTGAACGTTATTGTAATATATACATTTAAAAGAGAACCAATTTGTGACCTCGATTTAAATTTGTAATTTTTAATATAAGCTTTAAATTAGGATTTAAATTAAAAAACGAATATTATGAAAGTAAAGTTATCATGTATAATATTCATGTATATTTAACTATACAGGACTTCACAAAAAAAATGTAGAGCCTATATATTTTAACATATTGTATTATGTCATAAAATTTGAAATAAAACTCAATATTTTTTATTTCATAGATGAGGAATTTAATTCCCAACATTTTTTATACTTGGGCCCTATACATAGCAACCAAAAATTAACTGTTTTGTCAATAAATAAACGGAAATATTTGTCAAATAAAATGATTTTAAGAATGTAATTGGTGCTCTTGTAATGTTGGCCATCTTAAGTCGACTCAACTCGTAGATGCTTAATCTGAGATTTTTTTGTCGCAAGTCACTTTCCACGAGGCCGTAGGCGGCCAACTTAGAAAAACCTAGAGCGTAGATAGTACGTATTTGCCTCATTAAATTCTTAACGAACACCTCACCAAGTTTTTTTATTATTATTGAATCCTTACGAATCTATGGAATTTAGAATATATGTAATTTATTTAATTAAAACCTTTTAATACAGGTGTTTTTGTTAGTGGGGAGACCATTCTACAAGAAGACCAGCGCTCATTGAAAAATAACGCCAAAATAGGTTTTGCAATAAAGAAACGTATGTTACGGATCTGTCTTTATATGAAATTATAGATATTCGTCGTATGAGCTAGAGGTCGCAAGGTTGTAATTTTATTATTAATTGGTAGGCAGAACCATCAGGTAGTTCATCCGTAATTCAGAATGCACTGACAAACAAAGAAACGGTCGTGTGTGCCTTCCTTGAGAAGGAGAGTTTGACAACACGCCACACAAATCTGTTAAAAGAGCACTTGCATATATTATAGCGGATGGATCGCTCAGCTGCTATCTACGAGAACTGCAGAGACACAGATAGGACAGGACAACCAGAGGATGTCCACACCCACTAATGTGGAGCCTACCCTGTCAAGATTATGCCGATGACGTAGGCTTATTTTCTAGAGGCAAGTATATCATGTGTGATATAAGTACAAACAGGACTAGAAAACACCAAAAGATAGTGCCGTGAGGTGAGACTTAGTATAAACCTCATGAAAACTACACTAGTAGCCTTTTCAAGGAAACTTAAAGTCAAACATCTAGGCCTAACCCTGGACAACAATCTTCTCTGGAACATACATGAGAAGGATGTAGTAAATAAGTCCACAAAAGCCCTAATGGTATGCAGAAACATTGAGAGTAAAATCCCTTTGGACGCCATCCAAACGGATTCATTCCATTTAAATATGAATGGAGGCCTTCTATCTACTTAAACTGTTTCTCGAGTATTTTGATGCAATTTGTTTGTACTCATTTCAAAAATTCAGCACTGCATAAAACCAGAGCAAACCATGGTTGATCTAGGGTTCTGCAATTAATAACCCATCATTTTGTTCAATTCAGCCTACAAAAATCAGCCTCTTCCATTTTCTACGGCTGGCTATTAGAGGTTTATAAAAAAGACAGTCCATTTAGATGACTTTTTTAATAAAATTTATAAACAAAAAGAAACGACTGGTTTTATACAAACTTTTTTAAAAAAATAAATAATTTTATTTACAAGAAAAACTCTTATTAAATGGCAGTGCTCGTCTGTGGAACGTCTTACGCATTGATCAATCCCAATATCGTCGATATAATTTTCTCGCCTCTATCGTTGTGTAACAAATTCAACAACGGATCGCGAATTTTCTCTTCTAACAAATTGAACAATTCCTGCCTAATCAACTTGATCATTTCCGCTATTCGGTGTTCCTCGACTTGAAAAACTATCCAGCCATCTTCTAAGACGATGAAGGTATTCCCGCCCTGTATGCTGACGTTCAGATCGTACGAGGAGAACAGTATTAACGGAAGCACCGGCACCATCGTACAATCCCTGAAGAAGATTTTGCTGGTCTGGATTTTTTCTTGGTACACCAAATAGGGACTGGGAAAATATTTGAGTTTGTAGTTGACCGAACTGGGATGCATGAATACCTGAAAACAAACAAAATTGAAACATTCAACAAAGCAGTAGTCTGTTATTTTTGGATGGGTGACGCTAGGAAGTCCCGCAAAAGATTAACATTACCAAAGATTACTAATACCGAGAAAATAACGCAGTATCGGTTTGACTTTCGTAGCGTTCCGATATGATTTTTTTTTTATTTCAACCCCCCTAAGCTCCCTATTTTTAATCAATTTTTTTTCAAAATTAAATGGCTTCATCTTCTTGATTTTTTATAAAAATTTCATATTGATATTGCTTTTCATTTTACCCTTTTTTTTAAATTTCAATCAGCCTTAACCGCCCATTTTTATTCGTATTTTTTTTGCAACTGATAACATTAATGTGTAACGTCTATCATAAAACTGAAAACTGACGTCAGGATCCTCGGCTTATATGGCTTCTCGAAATGCCTAGAATTTTCTTGACAAATAATGATGTTTCCAGACATTTCTGGATTATTCTATCTTCTTTTACTCGTACTCTTACTTATGATGATCGCAGCACACTATAGTGTGATGGGTGACATTGCACTTCTTTTCGTATTTGTACGTTTCCTATAACGGCCGCAGGCCACTGCAGGGTGTAGGGTAACAATATGTACATTACATATATTTCGTCTGGAGTTTGAACTGATCCATCAAAGTAGTGAACAAGGTTTAATTTTCTCTTATTAGTAATATGGAAGATGCCCAAAATATCACGTGTTTTATTACGAACATTAAAGCAAATAAACATTAAATTTGAAAAAAGTGTTCTTATAGAAAGAGAAATTATTTTGTGGTGGAGAAAGTTCTTGCTAGTACCGTCGTGAAAGGAGAAAAATTTGGCTAAATCAAGGCCATACTGTCTCAAAGGTGTGGCAAGATTTAGAAATAAAAAGCCGCCGACAAGCTTTCATTGAAGGCCTGTCAACAGCGCCAGCGCCAGCTGGCAAATGCCCCACTCATAATGGCTCGTGAGAAGAACATAATTATATACCGCCTCCCTCCTTACCTCCTTTTCAGCTAATATGGGGTGAAATATAAAACCAAGTGGCGAGCTAGTTTGACTTTTACAATGGACAAATGTCATGGAAAAATTGAATCAGCCACACAATAAAAGAAGAAGAAGAAATGTGGGATCTCGACACTAGAATGGATGTTGCAGTTGAATGATTGATTATCAACCTAAATAATAGCGATGGAGATTAAAGTTCATCATCTAAAGAGTTTTCTTCGGACGATAATGAATATAATAATATTGTATTTTATTTTTTTTTTTTGTTTCAAAATAGCGGCCATACCAATTGTGACATTTCCTCACTTTATTTATTACATAATTCTTTGCATATTAATAATTCTCTGCTGATTTTTAGGTCGAACAAAAAAGTAGCCTAGCCTAAACCTTTTACGAAATTTTTCGTACGCCACTGGAAGAGACAGATTAACGCAAACAAATCACAATACCTTCCAACTATTTTGGAATTGTAGTATAGCAAGATTTATGAAAAACAAGAATATTGTACATCATACATATCAACCAAAAGAAAATAGAGAGCCTACAAAGTAGTTATTAAATATCTACTTTATAGTATAGATACCAAAGAATATTGGGAAAAAATTACAAAAACTGGGTCATGCAGTTAGAAATAGAATGAACCTAAAACACAGTCAACGTAAAGAGCCCTTAAAAAACAATCAGAGCTGTGACTAGCAAAAAGAGACGAAGTGAGGAACAAAATAGAAACCGGTTCGATACCAGCACGCTAGGTGAATGGAAAGACCAAGAGGATTAGGGATGCGAGAACTGCAGGTTCCGGATTAACTGGTAATCATATCTAATGTGGGGCCAGATTGGACCAAGCCAGTAGCATCGTGTTCTTATGCCTTAAAGTTAAAAAAATATTGTGGTGGCTATTGTACCATTAGATTATCCCAATAATTTTATAACAGCAGAGCAGGGAGACCTAATGAAGACTGCACTGCTCAAAATACTGAAAGATCTCAACAGTATCTGATGTTGGTTGAAAACCTAAATTATAATAAAAAACTATATAGAAAGTAAAATTATTATTTGAAAAAATTGCAAGCTCATTCGTTCTGTAGACATAGTTTAATAATACTCCAACTTTAAGTGAGATTTTCTGTGTTTTATTTAATCTAAATAAACTGTGTTTTACATCAAATGATTGTGCTAAAGACAATTTATTTTCGTAGTGAATTGTGTTACAAAACTATATCAAACTACACAAATTTTCCAGTGTATAAGTGTATTTATTTCCATTCCTCTAATTGAAAAAGCAGTATTTATTATCTTCTTTGTGAAGACTCAAAAAGTATTAAATAGCACCTAGTGCCATTGAACACAAATGAATAAATAAATAAAATAATGAATTTCGTGTACAGGGTAGGGTGATCATTTATTAATTAACTAACTGAATTATATTTTTGGATAATAGAACGAAGTTTTAGATGTTGCAAACAAAAGGAATTTTCCAACTATTGTATTTTTCGTCATAGTATATTTCATCCCAGTTGTTTGGAGCGAAATAACGAAGTGGTGAGGATTTCTGGCTACAAAACATACTGCTCCAATAGATGTCAATCTAAGGCTAATGACGAGAATGACGTTATTAAAAGTTTAGAAGAGACCATAAAAAAAATAGAAAAAGACTCAACAGATAAAGATAACTTTATTAAAAGGTTAAAAAGGCAATCAGCCGATTTCACCGATGACGTCACGAATATCGAAGACAAATTAAATGCTCGCTTAATTTCACAGAGATCAAATTGGGAATTAAATATAGAATTGATTACGTGAAGGGATACAAAATCAGTAATACGAATCCTCCCTATCACACGATAAACTTAAGGAGAACATGAATGATTTATCAGACATTAACAAACAGATGTTAAGTTCAATAATTACTCTGAAAAATGAGAACATTTTATACACATCGGAATTAAAAATTCTTCGCAAAAAAGTTGATGACTATAAGTTAAAAGCTTCTCAGTTTCCCCAATTAATTCTACAACTGGTGACAATATTGTAAGAGCATCTTTAAATTAGCAAACACCTAAGACGAATGAAAGACGACCCCAAGTATTATTAATCGGTAACGTTAATGTACTAGGCTGTTTCAACATTCTTAAGAAGTTTTCAAATCGTCCATTTGACTTTAATCAGCAAAGTGTGAAAGGTGCTGGTCTAAAAGACATTATATCCGTCGTTAAACGCTATTCAAATAGTCTGTCCGAAAAGGATTTTATTATATTACTTCCGGGTGACAATGACGCATGACCAGGAAACAAACCGAATGTACCTACGTTCGTTCAATATTTACAAAATTTACCAGCTACCAATTTCATTGTAACCCCACCCATGGTGTACAAAAGGCGAATCCTTAATTTATTTATACACGTGAATAACGATACTTTAAGACAGGTATGTGCTAGACTTAACATTCCCACTCTCAGTTGCTATGAAAAATTTTCGAACGGTATCCTAAGCTACTCCGCCTTATGTTTCACATATATCTCAGCTTTATTAATAGAAAATCTCTTTCATCGTCTCCTAACGGTCGTGATTCCAATCTCCATTTTCCCAAGAAATCGACGGTGCCGTCAACTCTGTAAACGTACCCATTACTCATAGTATAACCCTACTAACCCTATACCTAATGTCAGAGGTCTTCGAACTAAAACTAATGAATTATTAAGATCTTTTACTCAATTGACTACGATGTCATCATGCTTACAGAAACTTGGCTTAATAATAGTATTCGGAATTCAGAATTTCTTAATGTCGATCAGTTTGCTATCTTCCATCGCGATAGAAAGTATGCAATTCTAGATTGTCAACGTGGTGGAGGAGTTTTAATTGCCGTATCCAATAATATTAAAGCATCAGTTCTGTCAACTCCAACCAACGACCTATATGATGATATATGGATTCGGACCAAAATATTCAATGATGATATCATCTTATTTTCCTCCAAACTCAACCTTTGAAAGTTATGATCTTTTCTGTAGTACTTGTGAATCTTTAAGTAACAAATATAACAACTGTAGATTAATTATATATGGCGATTATAACCTACGGCAAATTATTTGGTCCTCTGATGAGGATACCGCCTCCGTAATCCCCGTAAGAACCTCCTCTGTTAATGCCGGAACTCTTATTACGTCGATGTATTTTCTTGAACTTGAACAAATAAATTCCATTAGAAATAATCTTGGTCTTATTTCAATTTGTTCTTCGTATCTGACTTCGATCACCTAGCGAAAGTCCATTGCTTAATGTTGACAAATTTCACCCTCCTGTCCATCGATCTTTCAAAATATGTTCCAATAAAATCCAATTCTCGCAATAGTGCTGTGTATATATTCAAAGACGCTAATTTTAGATAACTTAATAACTTTTACAACCAGGTGGACTGGACGTCAGTCAATAAAGCACCAAACATCGAAGACAGAGTTGAAAATTTTTTTGACATTTTGTTTCAAGGCATCAATCAATTTGTCCCAAAAAAGACTATAAAAACATTAAATATCCAAAATGGTTTGACAGTGACTTCGAAAATGTATTGCCTCCAAAAATAGACTATAATTAATATAAGCACTCTGGTCTGAGTAGTGACTACCAATTATATTCTAATGCACGTCGCGAAGTAAAGTACCGCACTGATTTATGTTATCTTACCTTTGCTTCTAACATGGAACACCTTATTCCTAAAAATATCAAGCACTTAAAAACTCATCAAACATTCCAAAACAAATGCAATCTAATGGCAAATTAATTTATAGCCCTGAATAAATAGTTAAGGTATTTGCCTCTCATTTTCAGTCCTGTTACATTAAATACAATGTTGTTATCTCTTATAACCTCATTACTGATTTATCTAGTAATCTTTCCTCTCGCGTTTTCACTGAAGAAGAGATCAACACACACTTGCTACAGTTAGATGTCTCTAAAGGCTCTGGTCCGGATAGAATTACTTCCATTTTCTTAAAAAATTGTCTATCCTCACTTTCTACTCCTCTATGTCAATTATTCCAAAAATTCTTGACGAGGCTGAGTGGTGTGTACACACTGGGTAATAAGAAATGAATCGAAAGTATTTAAAGTGTGTAGGTAGAGTTTTATTAATAATAAAACTCAGTAATATTAGTCTTAGCGCTTTCAGCCTGTTAGGCCATCATCAGAGACACTAAAGTAGTACCTACACACTTTAAATACTTTCGATTCATTTCTTATTCCAAAAATGTTTTGATGATGGTTTCTCTCCCCAACGTTGGAAATATTCTAACTTAGTGCCAATATTTAAATCCGGCGACAAATCTAATGTTTCAAACTATCGAGGAATCTCGATTATATCTAGCATTCCTAAAGTCATGAAGGCTATAATAACAGATGAGATATGTATGTCTTTTCGGCGTTACATTACACCACAACAGCTTGGCTTTTTCAAAGGGCGATCAGCAACTACTAATCTTGCTGAGTATCAGCAGTTTCTTTTATCTGCAATAGAGGATGGCAAACAACTGATCTTTCTAAAGCTTTCGACAGCGTTTGTCATTCCTTGCTGTTAGATAAATTGAATAGGATGGGTATTATCGGCAACTACCTTGAGTTTATTCGTTCCTATTTAACTGAACGTCGTCAGAGTGAATTTATGTGGTTTCACATCTAGCAAAATTTTGGTACATTCAGGTCACAGGGCTCGCATATAGGACCTATATTATTCATACTTTTTATTAACGATGTAACAACTTGTTTTAATAACTCCAGTTGCCTCCTATATGCAGATCTAATTTTTTTTTCAATCGTCAATGACCTTTCAAACAATCACTCACAATCAGATCTCAGGTTTTTGGTTCAATGGTGCAACAATAACTTGCTTAAACTGAATATCGATAAATGTAAAGTCGTAAGGTTCAATAAAACAATAATCATTTTCCATGATTATGTCATTGCAGGTTCTAAACTTTGTGTTGAGCAAACTATAAATGATCTTGGTGTTATTTTTAACCAGGGACCTATCGTTTATTTCTCATTTGGAAGAAATTGTAAATAGAGCTTTTCGACTGCTGGGCTTTGTCAAAAGGAACACCAAGCACATTTATGACACAGAAGCTCTGAAGAGTCTCTACAACTGCTTAGTTAGAAGCATTTTAGAATACTGCTCAGTGATTTGGGCACCTAACTACAATTGTTGTTTTGATAAATTAGAAAGAGTGCAAAATAAATTTTCGAAGTATCTACTATTATAAACATAGGCTTCCATCGCAAAATATAGATTACCAAACCAGAATTCTGTTGTGCGGATTTAAAGAGTTTGGAATGCAGACGTTGAGAAGCATCACTTGTTTTCCTGTATAAGTTATTGAACGGTTTGATTGATAGTGACAGCCTGGTACATTTTATTAGATTCCTTGTTCCTGCCAGATTTACTAGGCAGAATAAACTATTTTATGTATATACTCATAGACCGACTGATGTCCAATTACAATAAGTATTTTTCAAATTATGACATTTTTAATATAGTTTTGTTTTCTTTAAAGGGTCAACTTTAATTACACTATTGACTTCATTGTTATACTGTGACAATTTTATTAATTTCTTATTTTATTTTAATTGATATTTTAAATGTACCATTTAGAACTTTATGTATCTGTAGCGTACTGTAAACAAATAAATAAATAAATAAAGCGAAAGCATCTAGGTTCTCTGAAGCTAGAATTAGTTCCTTTCCTGTGTTGATCAAACAACAAGAGACTGGTTTGAGCAGACCGTCAAAACCATGGTACCTTGGGCAGTATACTAAACTCAAAATCATAGACTCTAGGAAAGTAATCAAACTCAAGTATAACATGGCATGTAGGCATGGCAGTAGTGAAACCAGATCGGTTATGAAGATACCAATATTCCAAAATTGGGGCTCCAAATGGAGAACTGTAGAGATTCTGGAAAGAAATTGGACTGACTCCAGGAGACAGCAATTTTTCATAAACATGAATTCTGTCTCTTGGGGGAAGATAAAGGAGAAACAAGAAATACTGTTCTTGAATTTCTTCAAACCTTGATAAAAGAGATTAGAGGAAAGAAGGAACGGGCCAGACAGAAGAAACTTCTTCTGAGGGTTAAGAACAAGTGGCTGAGGCTCCAATGTAAAAAGGGAGATCGGCATCTACAGCACAGAAGCTAGGTAAAGACGAGGAGAGAATTATTGCCAGGAACTCACTGCTGTTCAATTTGGTTTCAGTGCAGGAGGAGTAAGGGTACCTTATATCAGGAACAAAAGTGTATCTTTTAAAAATCTTACCGTTTCTTGCACAGTAGCAAATCGTAAATCTTTGGCTTCGTTTTCTTTGGGAACAGCTCCAGCTGCACTCATTATGAACGATTTGGAAGGAGTCAAAATCTTGACTACATTAGGATATAAAGCGGCGCACAAAATAGCTGATAACAATCGTACATTTTCTCCATTTTTGTTAAACTAAAAAAAAAAGTTAAATTTTATTCAACAATACAAATTTGAATATATTTTTTCCAGTTATATTTTTAAATTATTGAATTTTAAATTTTTTTATTTAACCGGAAAACACCTTTATAGTATTTACCTCGGGTCCTGTGACTTCAAGCACGTCATCCCAACCTAATCTTTTCTTCACACTCAGGTTGATAGGCACGAAACCGATATCGACCAACAGCTCCAAGAATTGCTTTTTAATATCCGCGATGGTGGTCAGCGTTCGGAACGAGAGGAAATTCTCGTTGGCGAAATTTCTGGCTCCGACCGTTGACTTTTTGTACATCTGCAGGAATTTCTTGTACGCGACCAAAGTAGTTATGTGATCGCTGATACCCGCAGCGAACGCCTGTTTCTTTTTATTTGCCTCTTCCCGCTTGCCGAACGGACAAATAAACGGCGATTTCGAACTCAGACAAGCCGCCATTGTCAATGCGGCGTCTACGCAGCCGAACATCGCACCATACAAGATCAATTTTCCTAAAAATCAAATTAATTGTGGTAAAAATTATCTGACAGGTAAAAATAAAATAAAACTCTTTAAATTCCCCACACTGAGCAGAAATAAAATTAATTTTTATTTTTAATAAAATTTACATAATCTTCGAGACATCACATTCATATAGAAATAACACTTCCAGCACATGTATTCAGCACATAACTCTCTTTGTTACTCTATCAATCTCTAACGATAGTTTTATCTCACTCTAATAATTAATGAATTCAGATTTTTCAGCTTTGAAATGGTTTAAAACTAATCTTGGAAGAAAATTGAACAAAAGTATTGAAGATTTAAAATTCTTTATCTCGCTCTGGTCATAAAATTGTTTAAAGCGAAAGAGCGAAAGGGTGAAAATGATGTTATAGTTGGTAACAACAAAATGTGGTTACATCAATACTGATTAAAGTCCGATATTGATATTTTCTTAAAAATTAAAGTCTAATCTGTCAAAGTCCTTTCGCAAGCTGTATCGAAAATCACGGCACATTATATTTATTACTCTATCATTCTCTAACGAAAGTTTTATCTTTTACAAATTCTCTATCTCGCTGAGTTCATAAGATTGCTTAAAGGCAAAGAGATAAAGGGCGTACATTATTTTAAAGTTAGTAATAACACAATGAGGCTATCGTTAAATTTTGACCAATAAACCTCGTGTAGTGACAGCATTATTGAATCAGACAATGAGAAGTTAATTAAATACATTATTTTTTTAATTTTCTTTTAAATTAAATTTTGCTATTTTAAATAGAAAAAAAATGTTTTATTTACCTATCCTTACATCTACGGGCAATGTTGCTAAATGGTGTCCAAGAGGTGTCAAATTACTATCTTTGTCCAACGCGCCAACGTTTTCTAATCTCTTTACAGCCGTCAAAATATTTTCAGTCGTTGGAGGTTCAATAAAGGCTTCTAAAAGTTACAACAAATAATCTATTACCCTTTTCTTTGTGCTTTCCAACAACTTACCCAAAACTTCTATCACGTCCCTATTTTCGAAATTTTGTAACACTTTGATGTTCAAAATCAGCTGCTCGAGCGGTATCCTATTGATTTCCGGTATAGGTTCCGATAATATGTTGTATTTGAATCTGTGGCCGGTATAGAGATGGATGCAAACACCGCTCATTACTCTACCGGCACGTCCCTTCCTTTGTAGAGCGTTTGCTCGCGTTACCCATGTAGTTTCGAGGCTCTCCATGTTCCTATTCGGATCGAATCGTTTTTCTTTCATCTTCCCGCTATCGATAACGAAGACGCAATCGTCTATGGTGACTGACGTTTCCGCCAGGTTCGTCGAGATGACGATTTTTCTTTGGCCCGCATTTGGTTTCCTATGAAGACAATTTATCATATATACAGATGGCAAAATGAAATTAATGATACTTAAGAAGAGAAGAAGTGCTGTTCTCTAAAGATAAATTAAATGATTATACCACAACAGGCACGTTTGCACATGACACTGTTATTCTTAAATCCATGAAAATCCTATAGTTGCATCCGCAAATCTCCTGGAACATCTTTTCGAATTAGACATGACTTTAAAAATGGAAAATAAAAATAAACGATATCAAAACAACATAACATTAAATAAAATGTTCTGCTCTCTACATAAAACATTGAAATTCCACGAACCCTGTCTCTAAAATACCAAGGAACCTACTTAGATACCAAACTCATTCAGACAGATCAGATCAATAAAAAATGTAAACAAGCATAACTGAAAATAAAAAAAAAATTAATTAGCTGCTAGGCAGAATACCAAAAATACCAAGAGAAAATAAAATAATAATATACAGAGCTGGAATTTTTCCAATCTGAACAATATGGTATAGAATTGTGGAGATGTGTCAGCAAATCTAGTAGTTATTTTATAGAGGATGCAGTCCAAGATTTTGCTAGCAATAATTGACACTCATATTGCAGCAGTTCAAGAGACAATTCAGCAAAAAAGCCAAAAGCACTACCAAAGATTTGACACACTACTCCAACTACTACTCAAGAAAGAAACAGTATAAGACTGAAGATAAACTGGCCAATAGACCTAAAATAAGGCAGAAGAGGTATTTTCACTGGAGGAGCCTTCTCGGGACATTTTTGGACTTTAAAATTAGGTTCCAGGCCATCTGATGACAGATGACAACGATAGATAATAACGACAGATGACAGCGATAGATAACTCAACTTGCTCACCTAAAAATAGCCGCTTGTTCCTCACTCGATAACGACGAATGCAACGGAAGCAAAATATATTTTCCGCTTCTTTTGCCGAACTCCTTATGAAAATTCAATTGGTCATAGAGGGTCGTAATTTCGGATATTCCAGGTAAAAATATGAGAATGGTTCCGGTTCTTGGATACCTATGATCACCGTGAACGATCCATTCCATTATGTACTCTATAAAATCGTAATTGATTTTGTCCGGATCCTGGAGGTAGATATTTTTACACGTAGATAAACTGTAATCTGAAAATTAATAAAATAAAACTATTTAATTACTATTGGTTAATGCATTTAAATGGTCTTGGCCATGGTCGCTTCGTTTTGTTTGGAATCAGTGTTACAACACTATCACAGTCTGGTTGGCTTGTACCATAGTTTTGGACAGAATTTAGATAGCTGAATAAAATCAGATTAACAAAATAGAACAATATAATTCAACTATAACATTATTACCAAAGACATGTTTTTTAACTGTATATATTTTCCTTAAAACCCTACTCAAAAGTAAAAAAAAAATTAACTTTACTAACTTACTCTGATATCTGGCCAATATTTGTGTTGCATGTAAATTTTCATCTCTAACGTTATCCCTAGGCCTGTTGGTCGTATAGTTGAGCTCATTTGCCGCCATCATAACCTCAATGTAATCATCATCGTTCTTCAATTTCCTACAGTATTCAGATCCATCTTCGAGAACGTACCCCGTAGTCTCCATAATGTCCTCTAGAAAATACTGTTCGACGGGAAAGGTTCTCCCTGGTATATTGACGACCGGTATGCTTCCGAAATATTCCGAAAAAAGCGAAGCGTTAAGCGTAGCGGACATAAGAATTACTTTTAAATCGGTGCGAATTTGCAGAAGTTCTTTCAAGATTAACAGCAAAAAATCGCTGAAAAATAAATATCCTCCTATTTTCAGTGATTTTAAACAAATGACAAATCAAGTACCTTTCTTCGCTACGTTCATGGACTTCGTCCACAATAATATGAGTGACATTTGGCAACGTTGGTTCACCTTCTAGCCTTCTCAATAAAATACCCGTAGTACAAAACGACAACCTAGTATTTGATGACATTTTACTTTCTAATCTAATTTGATAACCCACAGTATTGCCAATTCTTTCAGTTCTTTCATCGGCTACTCTTTCTGCTACACCTGATAAGATAAAAATTAAATCAATTGTTTCATGCACAGAACGATTCCTTTACCATATGTTGACAATTTTTGCAAAATATAAAATAACATAGTAAGAAAATTATGCTTACCAATGGCCGATATCCTTCTAGGTTGAGTACAAACAATCTCTACATGTCTATTGTCAGTGTTGTAGTTCTTAATCCATTCGTCTAAAATGAATTGTGGTACCTGAGTACTCTTACCACACCCCGTCTCCCCGCTAACGACAACAACAGGTGACTGACTAATTGTATTCAAAATATCTTTCTTCAGAGTCCAAGCTGGCAAGTCCTTACGAGCATTTAACATTTTCTTATATTTTTCGTCTCTAGTCCTAGATAAAAAACTTTCCACCAGCCGTTTATCATCGCGTCGAAGTTGTTCCAGATTTAATAATTTTTTATGTGTTCTACCGACGTTCCCTTTTGTAAAATGAGAAGGTCTCATCGTTGGTCGATCGACAAACTTCTTTTCATCAAATAACTTTTGATTAGGATGAATAAAATTGATTTCTTCTTTTAAATGTTGTTTAATTTCTTCTTCATTTTGTAGTAATTCAGTTATTGAGTAAACGCACGGTACACCGTCTTCTGCTAAAATTTTGGCTTCTTCATACAGTCTTTTGCATATGTGGAGGTTTACTAAAGGCGGAAGTACGGCGTTAGTCTTCAGAAATATCAGCGGGGGTTCGTAAGGGTATTGAGTAGTTGGAGGAAATCTAAATTCTAATTCAAATAAGAAATTATTTAAATGGGAATTAATGTCGGGTACTTCTTTGTCAATTTCATGTGAAAATCTGCATTTGTCGCCGAATTTGCAATGCCCTTTCAGCATGTTCCTGCATTTTTCCCTTGTATCCTTTTTGACTATCTTTTTCTGAACGATTTCCTTATTGTGAAACATATTTACCAAAAAGTCTAATTTTAAAGTTAAAATCCACACGTTGTCTGTTTTGCAACTGAACGTTTTTTCATATATTGATTCTAATGAACTTTTTTCGTCCAATCTTTGTTCTAAAAGTTCTTTGTCAGATAATTCATGTTCTATTTCTCTCCGAGGTTTGTCCCAATTGAAATATTTGTGATAAAGGAGATATACTGAATCATCGATATCTCCTTTGCAGTAGTTGTATGCTTCTGAAGAGTGGTTTTTGTGAAATCCATAACTAATCAAATAGAAATGAATTAGTTAATATGCGTATATAGATTAATTTAGAAAGAGATATACCTTAAACCCGGCGTTTACTTAGGAATATATTACTGTCAAAGACAACAATTAACTTCAAACTTGGAATAACCATGCGAGTTGATCTGATTAAAAGAGAAAGTTCCTTTAGATCTCCCAAAGATATGTATTTTTTTATATAATGTTATCGGTTTACTTCATCTTCTATCCACTAGGAAATTGTAGTTTATTCTGTAGTGGATAAGAGATTAGGGCGTGCCAGAAGATGAAGTGATACCCGAGAATACCGATCAAGGAGAAGCGACAGCTTGGTGTTTTCAGTGTACCTTTTTGTAACGCGCATGTGCGAAAATAAGTTGTGTATCACTCAAAATTATGTTATCTGTCAAAGTCAGTCCAAGTTGTGTTTAGTACGTGAGCAATGTTAAGTGATATGTTTTTGGTGTTTGTTTTGTGTAGTAATAAAATGAAGATTTTACACACTTAGGTATTCTAATACAGATATAAAATGTGCCAAAAAAGTTATTAGGAAATGTGGTGTTCACTTGCGAAACTACCTGTATATATTTTAGGGGGAATATTTGTGGTGTTCACTTGCGAAACTACCTGTATATATTTTACCTTCTTGTTGTTTCTATAGTTTTAAGTTGTTATGGTTTTGTGAAGTTTGTTATATGAATATATTTTGATGATCTGTATGTATCAAGTTTGAAAATACATCATCTCTAACAGAAGCCTTGCATATTATTAAAAAATCAAAAACTTTATATTTTATGGTATGGCGCACCGCCACCATAGGAAACTAAGAATTTTATCACATACATAAATATTAAGTATAATGATTTAATCATTTTTGACATTTTATTTTTCACATGTAGGTATTGCATTTTGTGAAATATATGTTTTTCTTCTTTTAAATAAATTCAATAAACAATTAACTGCAGATTTTGTTTATTTTATTTTGAAATTATATTTAAAAATATATAATAAATCCGCGTGTTTCAATTAGGATTGGTCAAAGTGGGCGAAATCCCTTTATTATGGCTAAATTGTAAGTTACAATTATGTCAATATAAAGATGTTTTGCCCATTCATATTTACATTTATTGAATGAATCATACTGGAGTTGATTTTGGAAATATTGGTGCATACTTAAATAAGTACTATTTCTAAAAATTCGTCTATGTCCAGACAGCACACATAGTCCAATGGACGTCCACTTTAGATCTATTTGAGGGTCAGGACATCCATATCCGGCATCCAGTGTACGCCCGTTTATGCTAATGAAATTGACAGCTGAGTATCGATACCCAGAGAACGTCTGTTTTTGGACTTAATTTTAAGATTAGTAGTATTTTGACGTTCAGTGGACATCCATCTTAGGTCATTATTTATTAAGCCTACCAGATAATACCCATCTATATATTCTTCTTTTTTTTAATATAACTGGCCATTAAAAATTGACAAATTGAATCTATTGCATTTCATTCTATCAGCGGAAGTTTGAAATCTTATTCAATTATAATTGTATCTAGTAAAAAGTTTTCAAGTGGTTCCTTGGTCGAGCTCGTCTAGCTATTGAAATCGTATAACGATAATGGATGTGTCGTGAATTCGATGCCTGCTCAGGTCAAGCGATTTTTATTAAAAAAAAAAAAAAAAATGGTGTATAGCGGTTTGCGAAAATAATAAACAAATTATTAATAACATAAAATAGTGTGTGGTGAGTTGCGGTTCTGTAAAAAAAGTGGGGATGTGGTCTCAATGGAAATATAATCCTGGACGTTTTTTGAATGTCTAGACGCCCAAAATTGTATATCCAATGGACATATTTGTATTGTCTGGGTGATAGCCAGGCCAGGTATTTAACTCTAAATACATAAACCTTAAATGACATCTGGCTTAACTTGGCGAGAAAACACTTGTTTCTACAGAAATGAGTGATAAACTTGAAAGTCCTTTTAATATATAAATCTAGAAATTCTAAAAATATGTTAGTACTTTTTAAACCTAAAAGCTTTGAAAATATATGCACATTGCAAATATTTAGTTAAACCTCTCAAACTTAATGTCTTTTTAATTGTTACCTAAATTTTTTTTGGCACCCTTAATTTTATTTACCTTATTTTTACTTAAGGAAAAGGTAATTTAATTTAAATATGGGGCTTTTATTACATTTTTAACAATAAATAAACCAAATATTGAACAAATTTTATAGACAAATTATAAAATAATAAACGTCTTTTACTTTTATAACAAATAATTAATTATTACATTATGAATTATATTTTGGTGCCGAAATTTTACCATTGCTATTAACCCTTACTACTTCAATGTAATTAAATCACATTGCAATATTTGCGCATGGACTATAACAATAATTTCAGATAATTTGCCAAACTATTTCGCTTAGTGTAGAAAATAAGCATGTTTTCTCAGCGTGCTGAGTTGTGTATTAATCAAAGTCATGCTGTGAAAAAGGTACATCCGATATCAAAGGCACCGACAGATACTTTCGATTCTCCTTGATTGGTATTCCCGGGTGATACAATTCTAGAAACTGGTCACAGTACATAGAAAATATACAGTGTGTCTACTTAAGTTGGAACCATATGGAAAACATTTTTATTATTGTTTTTAGGAAAAAAAGTTATTCTTGATAAAAAGTCCTGCATGACCCAAAACCTAAAATACAGTCATCACATATCAAATTTTTCAAGCCGTATACGAGGTTTGTCAAAAAATATGAATTTTGTTCAAGAGTAAAGTACGTTCATTTTTGACAAAATCGAAAATTTTTATTAAGAAAAGTTGATTAGAATTGAATATTACATTCAAATATGCAATTACACCGATCTATCTGAAAAAACAGATTTTCTTATTTTTTATAAACTCTACACTCTACACATTGATTGTAAATATCTGAAAACGTTATAAATTACGTTAGCTACTATAAACATGATACGCTTTCCTTTTGTTGATGTTTGTGAAGAATTTTGCAAATTTCTTAATGAAAATTTTCGATTTTGTAAAAAAATAAACGTACTTTACTCTTGAGCAAAATTCATATTTTTTGACAAACCTCGTATACGGCTTGAAAAATTTGATATCTGATGACTGTATTTTAAGTTTTGGGTCATGCAGGACTTTTTATCAAGAATAACTTTTTTTCCTAAAATCAATAATAAAAATGTTTTCCATATGGTTCCAACTTAAGTATATCTTTGTAAGATCTGAAGGAACTTTTTTTTCTACCTTTTAACAACAGTTTAGTGTTATGTGCAGTGGCAGCTTATCCAGAGAAAGGTGCCCTCACTAATAGAAATTGAATAGCTGCCCTCATATTTGCACCAATACGTTTTATCTTAAAGGCGAACAACTACTAGACTAATTTTGTTTACAAAAATCAAATTGCAAACATTCACGGTGTTATCCACGTAGTTGTAAAATGTAAAATTATTATGAGAGAGTCTTGTTACGAGAATTATTTATGGGTATAGTTTGGTATTAACTTAATATAAGGCTCTAAAGTGCACAAAATGCTTTCAAAATTACATTAAGGAAGTATGTGTGAATTCTTAAAGCCAATTATTATCAGTCTAATGTATTTTTCTTGTTGCAACTATTATAGTTGAAAGCGTTTTTCAGGAAAGTAAACAATTAATTTTGAAGTATAACAGCACAGTGTAAAGCAAGCGTTATAGAAATAAATACTGATTTATTCATAAAACGCATGCACACTCCTCAGATAAACCATCCCCACTTAAATTAGCAGCCGTCTCCTCCTTTCTAATGAAGCAGTTGATACGACAGTTCTGTCTCTGTAATATAAAACACAATCTGAATGAAGACACAAGTTCACAAGTACATGTACATGTGCTCCTCACTATACTGTTAATAAAAGTGGAAAAAATTCAATTTCATAGTAAAATTTGTACTATAATAAAGTTTAAAGTGTACTTCAACAACAGTGCATTATTAAAAGGAGTGAAAAACAAATTAAAACAGAAAAGTGAAATTTTCTATGTGGATTGCAACAAATTTATAGATTTGGATATAAATATAAAAATATTCCTACAAAAAAATTAAACTGATAAATTAAATGACACTTAAAGCAGAACAAGTTTTTACCAGTGGTGTAGTATTTTTTTTTACAATGGACAAAACATATAAATGCTGTAAAAATAAATAATTTAAAAGCTAATGTTGTAAGATATGCATTGGAATTTTTCATGACAGCTGCTTAGCAAGAAAGGAAGTAACATTTTTAGAAAGAAATGAAATTTATTGTAGCAATGAGTTTACAGAATGAAAACATTAAACTAGAACATGAGATTTCAAAATTAAAAATATTGTTAAAAGAGAAAGAGATAGATATACAAACAATACCTAATGACTGTGAAGATGAAGTGGTGCAGCAGGGGGACGATTGGAACAGTAAAGTAAAAAAGTATTTGGCAGACATGGATAATCTTAACAAGGAAATAATTGATATGAAAAACACAAATGAGCAGTTAAGTTTAGAATTATCTGATAAAGAAACAAATTTTAAACAACTAATGATGAAATTTAGTAGTTCAATTTATAGTAACCCAGTAGAGGCCAAAGTTGTATAATAAGTGCAGTGTAAGTTTATAGCTTTGATTAGCCTTAATAAAAAGCGCATTTAAAGAGTGTGTGTGTTTTACTTATTACGTTATTTATGGAAGCTTGGGATTAGCCAATTCCCAATGATTTTCTCAGCACATTAGAGAATGCTGACCACCTCACTTAAATGAACGTCTAGACCCAGAAATGGAAATAGACCACCCTCCAGATGACATAAAAAGTATTATGCTAGAAACTATTAAAATATTAACAGATGACAACCAGACCTATGCTGAAGAAATTGATAGATATAAGAAGGAATTGCAAAAGTATGTAAGTAACACTCAGATCAAGTCTAATGTTAATAAATCAAATAAATAGGATGATGGACTGGATGATAGTTAAAAAGAAAATAGAAAAAATATAAATAAGATGCAAAAAATTTAAATTTTATGCGATGAAACGGGAAGAGGTCTAGGAATGATGCAGGTGGAAACAATTATTAAGCCAGGTGCACAATTTGAGAATGTCATTGAAAATAGAAATGAACTTTCATCAGATTACACATTAAATGACTATATAATAAAGGGCGGTATTAATAATTTTAATTGTAGAGTCTACCCTAAAGTAAGTACAACTAATAGTAAGGTAAAACATTGTATTCACACTAATATAATTTTTACAGCCATACCTCAATATAGAGGGAAAAAATTAAGTATTTCATTAGTAAATTTAATAATAAATTATGTAATTATGTTTCATACTTGGATATATATGCAGAAGGAAAAGTTAATGGGATTAATATATTAAATTTTAATGGAAAATTAATTAGGAAACAAGAAATTTGTAGTTAATTTGTTTATGAAATTAAAGTCAACAAAAAAATTAATAATCTCAATTTTCTGACCACTTCATACATTAATTTAACAACAAATTGCAAAGCAAATAACCAAATATCTGAACAAGGGACAGGTGAAAGTATTTTTTTAGATATAACACACATAAATGTCGAGGAGTTATAAACCAAAACAAAAAAAAACTTGTTCTGTATCTTAATTCCCAAAGTTTACTAGCTCATTATGATGAAATTTATCCTAATATATTTATTGATAAACAGCATATTATAGTTTGTTTGACAGAGACACATTTAACAATAGACATACAAAATAGTGAAATTTTTGTTCCTGGATATAAAATAGATGGGGTAGACAGTTGCAGTTGCCATATGGGAGGGGCTATAATTTATAGTAAAAAAACTGTAATATTTTTAACATTTAAACATAATATACTGTTGAAAAAGTATACTGGTTTATCTCTTTAAGAATGCAATATTTATCATCTTGTAATAATATATTATCTCTATATAGGTCAACTAGTAAAAGTCCAGTAATATTTTTAGAATTTTTCGAATCATGGTGCGATGAAAATGTAGTGGATAGAAATGGTAGCATCCTTATTGTTGGTGACTTTAATATAAATTGGTTAGGTGAAACTGACATTTATTGTAGAAAACTTAAGAATTATATTTACGATATTGGTTTGGAAAACATAGTGAAGGAGATCACCCAGCCTAATAACTCTGGTGGTTCATTAATTGACTTAATAATTACTAACAAACATTTAAAAGCTGAACCATGAATAAGTTCACTTGTAATATAGGAGTAAAATTAAGTCATTTGAAGAACAAGTCGCAATACATTATAAGTAGGGAAGAATATTGATTATGACCAAATTAATTTTAAGTTGTCACAAATTGTCTGGGATTACAGAGTTAATGAAGTGCATTTAATTTATCGACGATTATTAAATGAAATTTTAAATATTTATAATAAAGTAACTCCAAAGAGAGAGATAAAAATAGGTTACTTTACTATTATCAAGAATGGTGAAATGATACAGTAAGTGAAGCAACTAAGCGTAGAGATGAATGTAGATACAAATACTGATTTCAATTGGCAATTTTATAAACAAGCTAGAAATAATGTTGTTAAAGTAATAAGAGCTGAAAAACGAAAATACTATGAGCAGAGGATAGATTACAATAAAGGGAACTCCAATGAGGTGTGGAAGACACTTAAAAAAATCATTCCAAAAGAAAATGTAGGAACAAATAATATTCTAGAGCATCAAATTAATAATAATGAATTTTATAATGATCCCATGGAAATCCCTGATATTTTAAATAAGTTTTATGTTAAAAGTATAGAGTTTTATAGTCAATTTTAAGTGAATAACCAAAAGTATTTGGTATTTACCATTTGAGATTGGTAATTAATATAACATTCAAGTGACTTCAGTTAATAATTTGATAATATATCCGTGACGTCTTAAATCAGCTGTTTTTCGTCAAAGTTATAACCAAAATTTTGCGGTATTTACCTTTTTCCAGAGCTGTTTTTGATTTATTGGTTATAGGCAATTGACAGTTACAACTGGTGTGAGTGTTTTGTACCGACTAGTACTATACAAGTAAGGTATACTAAACCCAATTTTGTCTTTTTTAAACATAAAAATCATATTCAAAAATGGTAGAAGATTATTTGATGAGTAAAAATTGCAAAGGGAAAGACTTCAGAGACTAATTTCTTCTTTGGCTCTTATTCTTTCTAGCAGGACAATAAACAATATTGTTTAAATAAAAATATATATCGCTAATTCATAAACGCGGCAGAAAAGATAGGTTAAATAGAATTCAATTGGAAAATAAACAAACTTACAACCTCGGTCATTACCATTTCGTTTAAGTTATTGCCACTTGTGACGTCAGTAAACTAGCCCCTTCCATAAATTCTCGCAATAACCAAGAAATGTGGTAAATACCAAGAAAATTTGGTAGTTCGCTTAAAATTGCTTTATTACTGATAGTATTGACAGGACAGGCCTAGAATTTCTTGCATACAACAAAATTTGAAGATTTTCATTTATTGAATAATTTAGAGCTTAATTCCATTTTGTGTCCCCCAAATGTTCAATAACAATAACAAAAAAAAGTACATAATTGAATTGTTTTTTACTAGGTATGGAAACGAATTTTACAAATTCAGATATACAGGGGCCTGAGGATGGACAGCCTAATACATTTTATGTAAATACAGACCTGGATTTCATTCAAAACAGAAAAGCATAATTTATAAAATACCCTGTATCTTGGTTTCAAAGGGTGATCGACCCATTAACAATAATAGTTAACTTATTTCCCTTTTTTATGAGACTCCCTGTATACAGGGTATCCCATAAAAGTATGCCAATCTATTAACCATAGATTTTTTAGGTCAGTGTAAAGAACATCTATTAATATTTTTTTTTTTTCGCTTAGGGCCATTATTTTCAATATACTTGCAACTAGCGCTCGCTGCGAGGTATGTGATATTTAGGCTCAAATTATGATTTGTCATCCCAAAAACCCCAGTGTACCAATTTTAAGCCATTCACTTAAAATGACAAAATATAATAAAAAAATATATTTTTTTAAATTAACTTTGTCACCTTGTATATTGAACATGATTCTAATCGAAAAAAATTGCAATAGAGCTTTTTTCACTGACCTAAGGAATCTATGGTACTATGGTTAACAGATTGGCCTACATTTTTAGGACACCCTGTATAAAAATTAATACAATATTTGTCCACAAAGACTATACCAAGATTTAATCAAACAAAAATTATTTATTGTAGAAAAATGAAATCCCATTAACCAAGTCAATAACTAGGCACTTAATGCTTTGTTGACAAATAAATGAGTTATTTTTAATTAAGCTCAATTCTCTGTAGAACTATATATTTACCTTTCTAGCCTCATTAGTCCAAATTGCCGTAATCTATCTGCCTCTTCTGTTGGCTCATCTTTACTCTGCGAAAAATCTACCCCACCTTTAACAACTAAAGATCCTCGTCCTACCCAATATTTTTTCAATAAATTAGATTTAGATTCCTGGTAAGCTGAGATGTCATCGAGTTTAAAATCCTGAAAAAATACAATAGCCTCAATGAAATAAATTTAATAGGTAAATAAAATTAATAGGTACTTACAGGGCCATAGATGTATCTAAGTGTATCCATAATTTTTTCCTGTAAAACATCAGATAGATTCAAAAACTGTAGTTCTTCTTTGACAATTTTTCGTTGTACAGCTGCTGAGGGGGCACTAAAAAGTATATTGTAAGTTTTATAACGTTGTGAAATATTATTACATACCCTATTTTAACATTTGGAATTTCTTTCAGAAAGAAATCCGATTTGTCTATTGCATTTTCACCGTTCATAGTTAAAATATAACAAAAAAAGAGTTAAACTTAACGAAAATATTTTATACAAAAAGTTAGGTTAGTTATGAGTAGGTGCCAAAAAAGTGTGGATTTGACATTTTGACAGGAGCTCCGGGGGTTTTGTTTGCAAAGATCATCTATAGTCACACGGAAAAGTTATCAAGGGAGACTGATTCTAAGTTTACATATGTATTTCGCTAGCTTTTTACTTGTTTGCTATCGTATTAAACGGCTCACAGACGATGGAATTTGTTGTTCTACAAGTTGTACAATCTTGGTTAGTCCAACAAATAAAAGTTCATGTAAACATACGTCCAAAATGTTTCGTTTTCGAGATACAGGGTGATACAAGTAAAGTCCTGATGGCACATTTTTGTAAATATTTTCTAAAATTTCTTTAGTCACCGGTTTTCCAAAGTTAAAAAAAATAAATTTTCTGATTCCACAGGCCTACTGATTATTATTTACACTTTCGAATAAGATACATCAACTTATCATGAAATTTTAAATGTTTAAAACTGTCAACAAAACAATTTTACCCTAAGCCCCCCTAATTTACCCACCTATGAAAATGATCAAAAACTAGGGTTTAGTTCATTAAATAGAGCGTAAAAAGGTAAGCCAAATTTCACTTAGTTATCTTCAAAAGTTTAGAAAATATTTACAAAAGTATGTCATCAGGACTTCACTTTTAACACCCTGTATCTTAGAAAAGAAACGTTTTCGGATATATGTTTACATGAACTTTTACTCCTATGTTAAAATATGACCGTCTAATTTCGGGACACCATGCATATATCAATTGTCGATTTGTTGATACAATTTCATTTTAAAAAGTATATTGTAGTGCAATGCGCATACTGAGATGTTCCTATAATATTATTAATAGTAAAAATTTATCGATAGCATTCTTGTAACATTTAATGGGTATTCCAACAAACAAAAAGGTAACGAATGTTATAAAACTCTTAGGGGCGATTCCACCGTTGTGTTAAACGGAGATTAAAATGACATTGTTAATGTAAAATTGTCATTTTAAAATTCCACAACGGTGGAATCGGTCCTCAACAAAATAAAAACAAAATCCGACAACAATGAGCACGCAAATATTGGATTTATATGAACAGGCGCTCTAGTACTACACGATTTGTCACTGTTGTAACCGCCCATCCCCGGTTGCTTCTTGGATTATTAAAAGCATGTATTTAATTACCTCCCTCTTTCCCCCTTTGTGAAATTAAAATTAATTCATATTTATTAGACCTTTCCTATAGTAGTGATCTTCTAGTTTAAGAAGTGCTGAATTACATTCAACAAGTTGCATTCGTCGCTGCGCTCAGTATTGCATCAAACATAAACCAAGCTTTCATTTTCCATTTTTTTACTACTCCTGGAGACGTCTCTGTAAGCGGCACTGCCTTGGCCGATAAGAAAAGTCTCCGAACATATAACTACGTCACAGGCATGATTTACTTCTTGTCATCTGCTCATTGATTACCGCCATTCGCGGCAACCACTTTTAATGGTTTGCGCCACAGGCGTTATGTACTTCTTATTGGTCAACGTCAAGCATGCCTCTTAAGTTCGCTTAACAGCTTCTCCCGTTCTTCGCACCAGAGCTTCAGTACCTCTCAACAAAAACATCACAGCGTTCTGCGGTGTTAAAAAGGCGACGCTTCGTCCGCCATCATGTAACATAACTCTTATACATTTAAAATGGCTTAAGCATCAAATTTCCTAGTGAAATACAGTATATAATGTAAAAAGTATTTAATCTTTAGTGAACCATGTAGTGATAAATAAAATCATCCCATTAGTGTGTAAAATAAAGTTTTAAATCAGAAGGTGATCTTTTAATCCAAGTTCTACATCTCCCAGGCCTTTGGATCACACAGGTATTTCCAAACATTGTTATTTGGACTGGATTTAGAATAATAAATAAATTAAACTCGAGTTCCTCGGGATCGGATCTTTAAACCCGTTTCAACGGCTTTTATGACGTTAATTTGTCGTAACTCCGGTTGGAACGAATTTGGGTTGATAAAAAGGGGTGATCGATTTATTCTCGGAATTTTAATTGTGTCGATATCCTGTCGAAATGTTTTAATGAATATTACTTTGTTACAAGATTTATGTTGTTTGGTGGTTTCGAGTTGGGTTCCCCGACACGCACAAGAAAATTAGATCTTATTCGGGCAGAGTTATAGATATTATTTATTAGGAATCGTAAATGGGATTTAATTTTATCTGGGAGATTTTTCAGTAAATGCAGGATTTTGAATTTAATATGGAAGCAACTTTTCTTTAAAAAAAAAATAGAATTAAAAAATCATGAAGGTACCTGGGTGCGTTAGAGGTTATACTGTTTACATCAAAATTAAAATGTTGCATTTTATCTATGGCAGAAAATACAGGGTGACTAACAAAGATAATGATGATCTATTAGAGAATAATATATTGTATTATTAGTTGTAGAGCAGGGCCAAAAGTTCGAAAGGCTTTTGGTAGATGGAGAGGTAGTAAACGTCAAACCTCGTCGGACGACTTCAAAAAGTTCGCGGTAATGTTTATCTGCCAGTGTATTATCATAGAATAAGTAAAAGTAGATTTCAATTGTTACAAGCGCAACTTGGAAATCGTTTCCAAATTATAATTCTACAAAATTTCCACCCACACATCTATTCACAATTTATTAAACTCTTTACATTATGAAATTATTATTAGCCTCTATATCATATAGATGTATCGCGTTCACTTCGGCCACGGTTTACTCCGCTCTGTGGTAAAACTGTCAATTCCCGTGTGTGTGTGTGTGTGTGTGTGTGTGTGTGTGTGTGTGTGTGTGTGTGTGTGTGTGTGTGTGTGTGTGTGTGTGTGTGTGTGTGTGTGTGTGTGTGTGTGTGTGTGTGTGTGTGTGTGTGTGTGTGTGTGTGTGTGTGTGTGTGTGTGTGTGTGTGTGTGTGTGTGTGTGTGTGTGTGTGTGTGTGTGTGTGTGTGTGTGTGTGTGTGTGTGTGTGTGTGTGTGTGTGTGTGTGTGTGTGTGTGTGTGTGTGTGTGTGTGTGTGTGTGTGTGTGTGTGTGTGTGTGTGTGTGTGTGTGTGTGTGTGTGTGTGTGTGTGTGTGTGTGTGTGTGTGTGTGTGTGTGTGTGTGTGTGTGTGTGTGTGTGTGTGTGTGTGTGTGTGTGTGTGTGTGTGTGTGTGTGTGTGTGTGTGTGTGTGTGTGTGTGTGTGTGTGTGTGTGTGTGTGTGTGTGTGTGTGTGTGTGTGTGTGTGTGTGTGTGTGTGTGTGTGTGTGTGTGTGTGTGTGTGTGTGTGTGTGTGTGTGTGTGTGTGTGTGTGTGTGTGTGTGTGTGTGTGTGTGTGTGTGTGTGTGTGTGTGTGTGTGTGTGTGTGTGTGTGTGTGTGTGTGTGTGTGTGTGTGTGTGTGTGTGTGTGTGTGTGTGTGTGTGTGTGTGTGTGTGTGTGTGTGTGTGTGTGTGTGTGTGTGTGTGTGTGTGTGTGTGTGTGTGTGTGTGTGTGTGTGTGTGTGTGTGTGTGTGTGTGTGTGTGTGTGTGTGTGTGTGTGTGTGTGTGTGTGTGTGTGTGTGTGTGTGTGTGTGTGTGTGTGTGTGTGTGTGTGTGTGTGTGTGTGTGTGTGTGTGTGTGTGTGTGTGTATTTGCGTGCGTGTGTGTGTGTGTGTGTGCGTGCGTGCGTGCGTGGGTGCGTGGGTGCATGCGTGCGTGTGTGTATGGAGTGGGAGTGGGAGGACGGGAGAAATGCAAAAAGCCGTTTCAACTTCTGTCCAAAGAAGTAGAGAGGGTGAGGGTAGAACGATAAAATACCGTCTGCGCATCCATCACGAGTGTAGAAATTATGCGTGATTCAACCTTTCACTCTTATACACGTAAATGACAAGGAGAGGTTGCCCTAAAGCACTGTAAACAAATTCCAGGATTGACTTTATTCAGCGATTATGTTCATGTTCAGCTGTTTTTTGTTTGTGTTTTGGCTGTTGTAAGATTTTTTGGCGTCAATTCTTTGTTATCTTGCTTATATTTGTAATTTTTTGTGCTTTAAATCAATTGATTTCGTTTTAGTAATAAATTATACTTGTTAGGTTCGATTCCACCGTTGTGTTAAACGGAGATTAAAATGACATTGTTAATGTAAAAATGTCATTTTAAACTTCGTTTAATACAACGGTGGAATCGGTCCTTAATTATTTTTCGATGCACTATTTTATAATTGTTGCACAAAATGTTGCTAAACCGTCCCTGAATCTTGTTTACAAAATGTGCAAAACGAAATTGTGCATAGTGTCTAGACTTTTTCATTGAGAGTTATCATTCTACCCCTCTCCACTTCATTGCTTCTGTCACGTGTTCTGTGTCTGTCACTTCTCTACTATCGATCGCTTGGAGAAAATACTCTTTACGTCTCTGTCTTTACAATTTACATTGCAATGTATTGTCCGATCATCGTCTATGGGTCGTTTTAATCGATTCTTGCTTTATGATTTCAGAATATGTTCTGTGGTGAAAATAATGCCGCTTTTGAAAATCCTCATCGGATGCATCTGAGATGTAAAGGTTTGTTCTGGTTATCAAAATGAAAACTGTTTTGAAACTGCGCCGGACCGTATGCGTAAAGGCAAAAAATCCCCGACTGTTTGAAATTGTTGGAAAACCAGAACACATAAAGGTGTTTTGTTTATTGTTTATTATAATAATAAAGTTCCTTTTGAAAGCTTAGCTTCAAATAACATTTGCATGTATATGTTTATCATTATCATCACATTTCAATGGAATAAATAAAAACAGAATAATATTAAAAAATTAATAATTCTAAAATTGCTTTAATTTACAAATAAAACAGAACAAGAGACATTCGTCCACATATAAATAAATAATTTGGGATTGCATACGTTCCGTATGGTCTAAAAAGCCAATACAATATTCATAACACTTAAAAAACGCATGCGCGGTCAAAACAGTCCGAGTCGATCCACACTCCCAAGCATGAACACATTTTGACTATTTACAACAATCACGGATTATTTCGGATACGAAACCAGAACACTGGACTGAGAGATCCGAAGTAGTCCCAGAAAAACCAGAACACTTTTTATCTACTGCGCATGAGCCCGACAGTTGTGGATCGTTATTTCTCAAAACCAGAACAGACCTGTAGTAAATCTTTGATCACGTGATTCAGTATACGTAAATGTAATGGGACGGATGTGTCCGATGTGGATAAAAAAACGCCCCAGATGTAAAATAAGCATCCGATGTGGATTCTCAAACGCGGCATAAGAATGTCAATCTAGAATATATATGTTCTAAGATGTCAATCACACGTTCCACCGTTCCATGTCTGGTTCACTTGTCAATTGTCATTGTTGTCAATGTTGTCATGTGTTTGTTTTTGGTTTTTGACGTTTTTGTAGTTGTTCCTAGATCGTGTCCTAGATTAAATTAATAATACTACTACATTTTTTGATACAATGAGCAAATAATTGTGTGAATCCCATTTTCATCTATTTGCCATTTAATTTTGTTAAACTTGAAGTGAATATACCTAATGTATTTTGTAATTTAGAAGTGAAGTCTAGGTTTGTTATCTTATTTTTTGGCTAATCTTGCTTATTTTATTATGATTAATGGTTATTCTGCACAATTTTTATTTTTTTTTTATATCCATAGAAATGAATTATTCAGAGAACTCATTTTAAAATTTTAACAACACTTGTTATAATTATGAACAATAATTTTTTCTTTCATTTTAATCCTAGAACAAATAAACAGGACAGCAGGACCGGCTTTCATTGATTTGGTATAAGAGTAGGTACCTATACAAAATTATTTCCTAAAAGTTTGAAAGAAAGAAAATATAGGTGTAGGTATATATTTTATAAAAACACCTTACTTTTGCTGACAAGTTAAAAACATGAATCACATGATAAAGTTATGTTTTTATGTTGTTCATATTTCAAATCAAAAATGGAGATATAGGTGCATTTAGTCATCCTGATTTTGAAATAAGCATTAGCATAAGAGTTAAATTCAATATATTTCAATGTATCTGTTTATACAGAAAAATATAAAAATGCCAAGTTTGAATATCCACATCTGATGCATTTTTTACATCTCGAGCGTTTGTTTATCCACATCAGACACATCTACTACATCTTCATCTGCGTTTGTTTATCCGAGATGTAGCTGTCCAGACAGATTACATTTTTTACCTCTCAATTTGAAATGAGATGTGTATGAGATGTTCGTTCCATGCCATAAAGTAGGTGGTCTGTGAAGCCAAGTTTATCGATTTATCCTTTGTTTATGCTAGGGTGAATGTAAAAGTGATTAGTTTGTTTAAATTTCAAATTTAGGTTGATTTCTAGTCTCAAAAGTAAAATTTACAAAGTATAAACTTCTTACTTGGCATTGTGATTTAATCAAGTGACCAATAAAGTCTATAGCGTTTGTTTATTACATCTACATTTAAATCTAATCCTCTATCCAATGTGGATATTCAAACGCAGCAAATAAAGATAATAAAAGTGAGGTTTTTACTGACCTAGTCTCTAATAACAATGAAGTACAATGGTTTATCGTATTTAACCCTTGTGCAACCTGGGGTTGTCCAAAAAATACCTTAAACTGTACTTTTTGATACTGCAAGGTTATATCTGGTTACCTTTTAAGGTTCCATCAATTTATTAGTAGATAAACGTAAAATGGCATATCTAGACCCAAAGTTCAATACTATGTCAGTCTTACAAATAACAAATTTTATAATGTCACTGAAGAAGAATTAATTTTAATAATACTACACAAAATTAATACAAATACAGTAATTTAATATCTAATATCACTATTTAAACTTGAAAATGTTAACTAAGAAGAGTCTGTTAAGGTTTTTTTTTAAGAAGTCAGTAGTCCTTATGTTCTTTATGATGCTTGGAAGATCATTTTACTGTCGTAGACCCTCCAATAGTATCCTTTGGTCACCTAAGCATGTTCTTACGGTTGTGGTTCTGTAGCAGAAGTTGTTTCTGGTATTGTATTGTTGGATATCACTGGCACTAGTCAGTTTTAGGGATGAGTGTATATTATTCAGAGACAGGTTATGAATGAAGATGCACGTCTGGTATATAGGGAGGAATTGATTGTCTAGAATATTATTTGGACGATACAAAAGATCAGTAGGATGACAAAATGGAAGTTGAAAAATTTTTCTGATCGCCCTATTTTGTAGAATTTACAAAGGCCTGTATTTCTTTTGACTCTCTTATTGCAAGTTTGTCAGCCTTTGCATTGCCCTCGATGTCTTGATGACCTGGCACCCAAACTAGTTTTACTTGCCCTCCCAGTGTTCTCAGTTCTTCGATGCATTCCTATACCAGTCTCTATGTCAGTTTTTGACTCGGTCTGGATTTAATTAAGTGCCGCCTTGGCTGTAAAGTAATGTTAAATTGTTGCCTATATTTTTAAATCTTTTAACTAACTTTTTCAAGGTCTGTAACAGTTTTATTTTAAAATCTTTTGAACTAGATTTATACCTATTCTGGTCCATTTCAATTATTAATTATAATTATTAACATTAACTTAATCTGTTTCCTTTGTTTCTCATACATTTTGCATTCCATTTTTTTTTGGGTTTAAGCCTTGATATTCTTCAAACTGTGGTAGTTTACTATATATAGAAATGGTAATGATCTGTAGTGTTTAAAATTACTTTAAATGTTTATCTTAGATTTTTTAATGTAATCAATTAACTTATTTAAAAGTTCTCATTTTCTGAACAAATGCGCCATTCTTCTGTTTTCTGGTCCATCTTAATTATTATTTATAATTATCAACCTTTTTTCTTTGTTTACCATACCATAATATGTTCTGCATTCCCTTCATGTCTGCCAGTATTTGGTATATATTGACAAGTTTCATTAAAAAACTTTATCCTATTTTAGTGATTTTATCAATTATTTTTTTTTTCAAAAGGCGGTTGTAACACTCTTCAATTTAAACTGTTCTTTATATTTTTAGGACATATCTAAATGCATAAAATGCTCAATTTAGTACCAATAGAATCTTTATCAGATTTAGTCTGCATAACTTGCAAAAAAGTACTATCACAATTTCCTATTTACTGCTCTACTGGAGGATCAACATGTGGCAGATGTCCATATCCACAAAATGGTATAAAAAATGAAGCTTATGAAGTAGTAGCACAAAAACTAAAATTTCCTTGTTGCTTTAATGAAAATGGCTGTTTGGAGAATTTACTACCCAAAGATGTACCAACACATGAAAAATTTTGCAGGTTTCGAAAATATGACTGTCCTATTATTTGCAATCCTGTCTGTGGCTGGAAGGGTAAGTAATATCAAATCATCAGAAAATAATAATGCTTATTGTAGAAATAGTTATTATTAACATTCTCGTTAAAGTCAAGAGGTTATGCACTAAAAGAGAGTCATAAGAGGATAAAGCTATATGACATCACCATTCCTTTCCACTCTTTGTACAAGGGGTTTTAATTTAGAGCTATAGCTAAAACTTTTAAAGATTGATCTGCGAGATATTTTTTTCACTGAATTATCTCTTCCCACCTAGCTGAATTTTTTTAGTTTCAAACTAAAGTTTTTTTGATCTTAAACATTTAAGTAAATCAAAAGGTATCTCACACATACTTAAAAATTATTTTAGTATTCCTAAACTGCAGTTGTAGGGTTTAGAATACTTGAGGTCTACTAGAGCAATATTTGCTTATAAAATCGATGTTAAAACTAAATTTGATAGCAGCTAAAATATTACTTTTTGACTTATTAATAATAGACCAAATTTATTTTTGCTTGTTATTAATTTCATCTATTTTTAATACAATTTATTGTATATTATATTATGTATATATTATAATATGGATGTGTACAAATGACATTGTTAAAAAATATTTTGTTTATATTTGAAGAATGTAAATTTGTAACTGATACCCTCAAACGTTTAGTAATCCAACATTTTCTATTTTTACATGGAAATGCTTTGTTGAAGGTCATTAATTGTCGATTTTTAATGGATCACCTTCTACTAACATGTGTGTCCAATCAACTGTAGATAAGATAATATTACAAATGCCAGTTTTACTGAATATTCTGCACAAAGATGAACTATTTAACAGTATTATTTTCATACAGATCACTTAAAATTACACCAAGGTTAAAAAACTTACGACTCTAAGGTACACTAGTAAATCGGACCTTAGTTTAAGTTTTTCAACACATTATCTTGATCAAATTGTAATAATCATAAATGCTCCACTTGGGGATATTTATTAATTTATAAAAATGGTCTGAAAAACTGCATATAATAACAATGAAGATGAAATGTCATTTAAAAAAAATTAGATACGTTTTTATTTAAATCTGTATTTAGCTGTACATTAAATTTTATTTACATAGGTGTTGCCCAAGATTTACTGGACCATGTGGAGGTGAAACATTGCATGCTGCTGCTTAAAGATGGTCGCTTCGAAGTAGACTTTGTAAACAATCACAATGAAAATTATTTGCTTCCATATGGAGACAATTTGTATATCGTCAATAGGAGAGCCGTTTCAAAAAAACACAGCTTTTTCTGCACAGTTTCCTACATCGGTAGCGATGTATCAGTTGAAGAATTCTCTTACAAAATAATTTTAGAGAGTGGAAACAAGAATCATAGTCATGAAATCTGTAATAGAATGAATGCAACAACTCAAATCGATAGGGATGAATTAAGTGCCATTTTGCATGATCCTACTTCAATTGTTGCAAAGATTGAAGTATTTTTGGAAGAAATTTTAAATAACAATCTTAAACAGGACGATCACGAAAACCAAAATCTTAATTTAGATCTTTTAAGAGAACTTGAATGTTCAGTAAGTATCTATATGCCATTTTTTAATAATACAATATTTAAAGCTTTTAATAATTTTTTATATACCATCAATATTCATGAATATTTTTTGCGGTTGCCTAGCAGATGCATTGATTAAAATTGAAAAATGTAGATTTGGGAAACTTATGGCATGTAAATTAGAAATTCGTTTAGGCAATGAGTGGATGAATGTGGGACAAATTGCAACAAAAGATTCTTAAATTGATTTTTAATCAATAGTCATTACTGATCAACAAATTTCAAAATGGCAGAGTGATTTTTCTGAAATTGAGACAGTCTGTAATGCACGTTTTTGGGTGAAAATACAGGGTGTTTCCGAACTTGGCGTCCAAATTTGTAGGGGTGGTAGTTCGCATAATTTGAGAGCGATTGGCAGATTTCATTTTTCTAAAAAAATTATAATAAACAAAATAGAGATATTATAAAAACAATCAAAGAGCAGGTCCTACCCTGAGCGCGTAGCGCAATAGTCCTCAAAAACAGATGCGATTTACAATTTTGTCGATTCTAAGCGTAGCGCGCGCGAGTCGAAGCGATCCTATCGCTGTGCAGGACCGTACCTGTTTATAATTTTTAAATAATTTTTAATTATTTTTATTTTAAATATTTTGGAAAAATGAAATCTGCGAATCGGCCTCAAATTATGCGAACTACCACCCCTACAAATTTGGACGCCAAGTTCGGAAACACCCTGTATAGTTTTCTTTTCACTGACTTTTCCAAGGCCTTTAAAAGGCCTAACATGCTGTTTTACTTTGAAAGCTTATGGGGCCTAGGCGGGGTATTATTGCAATGGATTTGGGAGCTGTCTCAAATGCTTAGAGTTAATCATTACTATTCTAACTTATTTTAAGTAACTTCAGGTGGTGTTACCATAACAGCGAAGTTTTATTATTTGCAGATAATTAAAATTGTTCCAAATTGTTAAAACCTATGATGACGCCCTGGGACTTCAGTCTGACCTTGATAATCTATTAGAATGGTGTTCTTTGAATGACATGGATTGAATGCCAATAAATGTCATATCATGCATTTTATCGTTCTCACTTTCTTCCAACTACATTTGACTATAACATAAATTATAGACCTTTGAATTATTCTAGATCTCATTTTAAGCTTTAATCAACACATCTGCTGATATCTGCAAATCCATGATAATGTTGGGTTTTATCAAAATGCTGACTCTGATGTTACTGACACAACTGCAATTAAAGTTTATGTTGTTCCCTAGTCAGATCTCATCCTGACTATTACTCTTCCGTTTGGTCTCCACACACTATACAGGGTATAACTAAATAAGTGTAAAACATTTAAGGGGGTGATTCCTCATCGAAAAAAAGATAGGATCTTTCATATAAAGAAACTTCATTGGAGCATCCCTTGTTAAGATACAGCCCCTTAAAGGGGGTACATAAAATTTGTTTAACAATTTTTTCACAAGTACTAAACAAGTTGCAATATTGAAATTATCCTGACATTTTCTACTGCCAAAAAGACACTTAGCCAGTAATTTATTTGGGTTGTAAGGGGTGGAAAACGCATCCCCTAAAATTTCGTTCCAACGTAACTTTTTGTCTTATTATTTGTTTATCATTTAAAAATTTATTTCCGATAGCCTGTTTCATTCTAAACAAAAAAATGTCTCTTGAATTTTTTGCCCAAAATAAACCACTTCGCAGCAAAAAATTATTTTATGAACAACTACAGAGATACATCGTCATAAATGCGAACTGGATTTATTGTTATTTTGTTGTTACTAAAACTGTAACTTTATCAAAAGAAAATTAATTAAAACTTATATATAATTTAGGTAAAAGAGAATTGTTGTAACCTTTAAAAAATAAGATTCAACATACATATAAATGAATTAGTTTATTTAAGTAATTGTATGAAAATTCAAAGAACATATAGTTATTAAGCTTAAGCTGGTAACAACTATTTAAATTTTAAACTCGAACATTAGATAAAATATTAGCCACATGTCTAGTTACCACTATTATGATTAGGGTGGCAACTTCTATATGATACAGTCTTAGTGTAATTCAGCTCCTCGTGTCCAAACACCAAATCTCATTTCTTGATTTGGTTCTGCCTTCAGAAAACTGCGATATTTATCTCCAATGTCAAAATATGGAAAATATTGACTGGCTTTGAAGTTTAAGAAGAAATGGAAGAAAATAATATAACAGTGTACAATTCCAGCAACCAAAATGAATTACAGAAGCATATTTAATAAATTTAACTTGACTTTCAAAAAATAAACTTATAAATAACAAGTAGAAATATAATTTCTACTGAGATATTTTTTTAATGACATTTTTTAACTCACCGCTGTTTATAGCCAGACACTGGTAGATAGTTCAAGATATCGGAAACTGAAATTTCAAGACACCATGTCGATATCGTCTGCCTACTATTACTCCCACTTCACAAAATTTCCCTTTCTTAGGAATATTGCGTGCGGCTATAAATAAATTTAAAATTAATCGATTACTATTTTATACAGGATGTCACACAATTAAAACAATATTTTTAAATGGAATTTTAAAATGTTACAAAATGAGTGTTTATTGTAAATATGACTTCATGGAACAATTCTGAGCATACACCCTCCTGGGGAAACTAGGCGAGAAGAAATACTCTACTTTGCTATTTAATATTAAAAATGGTAGATGCAATTATTGTCCTGAATTTCTTTCAAAAATAAATCTTATTTAAATTCGTTTAGTTAGGCAACTGCAAACATTTTAGGTGTTTTAATAGATTAAACTAAACTTTTAACAACTGCTGCATTCCAAGAATGCAATAGTTACACAATCATAATTATTTAACAACTATTATTCTGTTTAACACTCCCTTTTCATCATTCACAATTCAATTACCTAATACTGAGCTTTAATAATAATGTTTTTTTTTCTGTGTATTTTTTACTATAACGGATTTTATTGTTTTGAAATGCTGAAAGTTGGATATGGCAAATCTGTGGACATGTTGTCACTTGCAGGGTCAAGATTGCTCAAGTGCTCATTAATCAATTGGTTTAACAAAAATGTGTTTTAAAACCAGTTTTCAGCCTTTGAATGTAGTAAAAACAATAAGTATCTGCATTTTTACTTCAAGGCATAAGCTTATGTTTGTTTTGAAAAACATGGATATTCAATCTATATAACTATCTATATCATTGACATGTATCACTTTCTTGGAGAACCCTGTATAATTCAAATTATTTTAAAATTGTTGCCTTTTCTGATAATACATCTTGCTGTGAAAACAGATTTTAAAAAATCATATAGTGTTGGCTCTACATACCGAGGCGTTACTGATGGTTCACCCTGTATTTATACATACATATTTACACTTATAATCATTGTGTGAAGCCGAAAGAATTTTGGATTTTTAAGAATTTTTGCATGAAATACAAATTTTCTTTGCTGGTTTATTTTAATAACTCCCTTTATTTGTGTTTACTTAGACAAGACTATCAGCGGGTTGCAACAACGATCGTTAAATATCTAATGACTCGTTAAACCCAAATCTTTTACTAAAGGTGTAGTACGGGTTGCATTCTTCTGTTAATTTATAACGACGACGTGAACTGGCAACGTCGCTTCCTCTGTCAGCTCTGCTCGTCATTTACTTTGACAGATTGAAATCTTTATTGATTAATATTTTAGAATTTTTCAATTTTCCAGCCAATTTATGTGAGTGTCGACAGGTACTTTGAATATATATTATAAAAGTTCAATTTGAGTTCGTTTAGTTGAAGTATTATAATGGTTGACAAAAAAAAAAACGCAAGCAATTTACTGCTACAGATAGAAGAAAAACCACTTGGTAAGTAAATTAATAATAAGTACATAAAATTCCTTCAAAAACATTCACTTTATTACATACTTAATTTGTATTTCCAACTATATTTTTGGGGTTAAAATTTTAGGTAAATTGCCAAGAAGTTGTATTGGCCAAAATACTAATTAGGAATAACTAGCTTTTATTAAATATAAAACTGATACAAGGAAATCTAAAAGTGAGATACAACAAAAAGAAAACTAAACTTTACAAGAGGTTAAATAGAAGGAGAGACAGCACAAGGTTCGTATTTTTTTGTCTCATTCAAAGGACACTTATTATACATAACATTTGTATATTCATAATATTTGTACACCCACCCTTCTGGGACAGTAACATTTATATACTTACCTTCTATATAGTATAGAATATTGTGCCTTCTTAGTAATAAAAGAAAACATTTATTTAAAATCAAATTAAAAATTTATGCAGTAATATATTTAAAGTTAATTTTCTAAGCAAGTACCTATAATAATGTTATTTAACAGAAATTTTATATTTTAAAAGATTAATTCATAGGATTTTAATTTAAACAGAAATTAAATCACTTTTATATATACAATATAAAACTTCTTTTGTATGTGTTATTATTTATACAATTTTAGCAATATCTGTCTTTTTCCATTTTAAAGATTATTCAAACTACTAAAGTTAAAAAAAAAAATAAAATTGGATATAACTAATGTTTAGTATTATTTTTGTTTATTTAAATTCTTTCCTTATTTGTTTAAGGGTGAAAAACGAGAAGGAGGCATGGTTAATCTTCAACTTGATGAGATGGGCTCAAATTAAAGCATTTTTTTATAATCAAATAGAGTCCCCATTGATTCCACTGCTGCATTCTTTGGTAAGAAAGTATTTTATTTATTTTATTTAAACTTAGCTGTTTTATTATACATGGTGGTCAAAATTCGACGCTTTTACATGATACAACTAGATGTCGAAACTTATAACCCACCATTCTCAACTTTTTTGAGAAATAAAACATGAAATGCTTAGTTATGTTATAAATCCATTTTAGAAGCTATAGGGTGATTTTCTAATTTTATCATAATTTATTATCTCAAATAAATATCTTATTTTCAAAAACAATTTAATAATTTGACATAGTTACATATGTAAAATCCATTG